CTCCCCTTCTACCTGCTGTGACAGCAGTAATCTCTGCCTCAGCTTCCTCTTCCACAAAGAGGGAAATAATAGTGCCGTGGGCAAGGAGTTGTGAGAATTAAGTGAGTCAATAAATAGAAAGCACTTAGAGCAGGGTCTGGCACAGTGAGTGTGAGGTCTGCATTTATCACCAGGCTGTGGTCTTTCTTATTGGTATTGCTATTCCTTTCAAGGTAGCAAGGGTCATTTTAATTGCAAATGCACCAAGCACAATAAATCATGGCACAGAGCTTTTCAGAAATTGCCAGTTTAGGTGAGGATCCTGCTGAAATGTCTGGCAGGCAGGTGCCCTGGCAAGCTCCCGTGAGCACACTTCTGGACAGGGCACGGGGGACACCGGAGAGAGAAGGGAGTCGAGGGACTCGCGCTGGCCAAGTGCCAGCTGTATGCCACACATTTTGCATGCAGAAGGTTATGTGGCCTTAACAGAACCCAGCTGAGGGAAGAAACAGGATTAAGTTATCCGGTGTCGCCCCCCCTGGGAGTGATAAACTGCTGTAGGATCGGTCTCCCAAGCACTGGGCCGCTGTTGAATGGGGCGGTGCCTCTGGGAACCTCGCCTTATGCCTTGCCTTATCCAATGTGGCCCCTTCTTCCTTTACTTTTTTTTTTTTTTTTTGTCCTTTTAACATTCCAACCTGATCTTCAGGGTAGTCTTGGATGCAACCATCCTAGTGCCCACCACTCTATGTTAGGGCCCCCAAGTGTGTGTGTGTGTGTGTGTGTGTGTGTGTGTATTTGTGTGGGCGCGCGCCCATATGTGCATGTGTGGTCTGTGCATTATGGGAAGTCGGGTGGGGAAGGCAGCCAGCAGCCTTCAATTCACAAATTGGAAATATGTGGATGCTAAGGATGTGAAAGCTCAGGCACTCTTAAAAAGCAGAAATGCAACATGGCTTTCAAAAAACGAATCTGAGGCAAAATGCATTCCTCCACCCGCCCCCCAAAAAATCCCATGTGAGCCAGGGAAGTGCCACTCTAGCTAACTGACAAAGTCAAAGCAGAGAAGCAAATTTTGCAAAATTGGAAAACAGTCTACGTTAAAATAACCAGAGATGCTGACAAACCAGAGATTTCTAGGCAGGTCTAAATTAGAAATTGGATGATGGTGGTGGCGGGGAGAGGAGGGAAGGAGAGGACGCGGAAGAGGCGACGAGGTTCCTAATGGATTCCAGTGAGAATTCTTTAAATTCATGGGCTAATAACCAGCGATATGAAGGGGGCCTTGGGGACCAGTATGTGCTTGTTGAGTGAGGGGGCAGCTCAGCTCCACTCACTGGCAGCAGATGGGCGGGCGGGGCTTAGGGCTGGTGTGCCAGTGCAGCGGAAATGCCGACTTTCCTGCCCAGTATAGTCTTCCTCCCTCATCCCCTGTCTTTCGGGACCCGCTGCTTCCCCGTGAGCCTGCAGGGATCTCCAGCCAGCCCTGCCCTCCCCTAGATCAGGGCTCTTGCCGGGAAGGGCCCCTGGCCATGCTGCACGCAGCTGTGGCTACTGGCTTGGTGTCTGGAGGGCAAAGCCATTCCTGACTTGGTCTGGAGGTGATTTCCTCACAGGTCACTCAGGGAACAATGCTTTCATTTCATTTGCTTCTCTGCCTTTGGCTCTAAAATCTCAAAATCCTAACCCGATGATTTGCACTTTCACCGTACATGTGGTCTGGCACGTGAAGATGAGGTAAAGAGTTGAGGTTATTTGGAGTCAGAGAAGCCAGAGGAGGAGGAGACCTGGGAGACAGCCGCTCCAGCAGCCTCACCTGACTTTGTCCCTGTGTCTGTCCTGAGTAGCAGTGACCCTGCGGGTGGGACGGAAAGACAGGCAAGAGGACAGCAAATGTCATATTTTTCCTCCCACGACCAAGAGGAAAAACACCACCAAAGGACTTTCTGAACCTGGAGAAGTCTAAGAAAAGCTATAGCGCTACCGTCATTGGAACTCATTTCACCTGGTGTCCCCTGGAGGAGTGGCGAATCCTCCTCTGCCAAGATCGTGGGCACCAGATGGGCACACGGGGGAGAGGTGCCTGCGGGCTGGTGCCTCGGCTTTCGTTCCTTTCGTCCCCAGGGACCAGGGCAGCTGCAGGGCATATACCTCTTGGGCCTCGGGGAAGGCGAGTGAGAGCACATGGGGGAGCTCTTTATACCCTGGGAGGTTCACTCACATGGTGGGGGTGTGGTGAGGGGTGGTCTTCTCTGATCTGCTATGCCCTCCCCCTCCCACACCCTCCCACCCCCACCCCCACCCCCAGGCCTTGGCTGAGTGGCACTGGCCAGGACCAGAATAGCCCAGCCTTCTCAGTCCCTTCCTTCTGGAGTGAGGGTACAGCCATGGCATCTTCTCTGGGTAACACCCTGAGATTAGCTCAGTGGAGAAGCGGATGGACGTTCCTGAGTCCACACCTTTGTCGCCCGGTGTGCACACGCGTGTGGCTTCCTGACGCCTGCCTGCCGGCTTGGGCTCCGCTGCCCACCGCAGAGTGAGAGCTTTTCAGGAGTCCAAGTTCCCACGCAGACCGACCGGCCCCTATAGTCCGGCCTTCCTTGTCATTCAGTCTCCTTTCGTAACTGACCAACCCCCGCCTGAAAAGTGGAGTTAAATGCAAGCTCACAATTGCATCCTTCGCCGTGTACATCTGAAGTCCTGCCCATTCTCTGGAGCAGGCCGCCGCCTCTGCCCGAGACTGCCACATCCCCGTCCCCACATGGCCACTGTTGCAACGAAGCCGTGATGTCTTTTTCCCCCCTCCATCCCCACTGTGTTCACCCTAGTCAGCCCAAGCCCCTCTGATCTCTCCCTGAATCCTGCAGGTGATGGTGCAGGGGGCGGGACCTGCTGAAAGGCCCTTTCCCTTCCTCAGCGGGGAGGCTGGGGAAGTGCTGGGCATGCTGGGAGTTTCTTGCATGGGCTCAGCAGGCAGGCTTCCTTTGCTTTGAATGAACTGAGAGGTCTGGATGGTGCTTATCCTGGTGTCTGGCACACAGTGCTCAGTACCTGGTAGCTACCTGTCAGCTGTCCAGGTCAAACCAGTCCCCTCCCGCCTGCATCTCCTCCCTCCCGCCGCCTCTGGAGGTTTCAGTGCTCTGCATTCTCTCCTGTTTCAACTTCCTTTCCCTTAGCACAGAGACATGTTTGGCTCATGTTTTAAACAACCTTCCCTAGACCCTGGATCTTTCCTGACCCCATCCTCACTCTGTCCTCTTCACTCCTTTCTTTATTCAGCCTCCGGCCCCCAGGCGCCTGCCCCTCAGTCCAGGGAGCTGGCTCCTGCTCCATAGGGAGCAGTAGTGTTCTCCAGCCGGCCAGGCTGCCGTAGGCCTTGAGTCTCCGCGGACGCCCTCCCCTCAGCCTCCTGCTGTTTCCCTCCCCGAGTAGGTCCCTGCCGCCCTCAGCTCCCTCTCCAGCCCCAGCCCAGGGCAGAGTGCACGGTTCTTTCGATGAGGACTAGGCCCCAGCCCAAGCAGCAAATCAGACGGGGACACATTACCAGTGAAAGTGTTTAATAGTTAAATTACTCAAATAGACTTTTCAGTTTCCATGGGAAATCATAATTGTATTCGTTTTTGCAAGAGCAGGAGTAAAAAGAGTGCACACTCCTTTAAAGGGAATAAAAAGCCAGCACTGCACACGGTCACCAGTCACTGCTGGGGAGGGGCGGGGGGTGGGCCCCCATGAGGCCGGTGGGGGTCATGACAACAGGGGAACATGGGAGGGACTCTGCACACACACACACACACACACACGCACGCACGCACGCACACGCACGTTAGGTTGGAAGCAAAATGAAAACCCAGCACCCCCGGCAGGTGATGGGGGTGGGGACTGGAAAACAAGATGTGCAGAAAGCCAGCCCAGCGAGGGCAAGAGGCCGATGCGGAACTCAGGGCGGAACAGCAAAGGTGCGACAGACTCAGGCTGGCAGTTTTGGGCCCATGGCCTTGCTTCTCAGAGCTGTGTTCGGACGGGTGGGCAATGGGGGTGGGGGAGGCTAGTGCCAGGGTCCAGCCAGAGGTGGAGCAGGTGGGCGTCAGAGTCATGTCCCAGCAGCTGGCACACAGTGCCACCCCACCTCCCTCCAACTTGTGTTGGAGGTGAGAACAGTTCTGCCCTGAGAAGCAATGAAAAGATCTGGGCGCAGGCCCCAAGGATTCTGTTTGAAAACGTCTCCGATAGTGTATCACTTTCCAAATGCCTCCTTCATAGGGTATAAAAATAGAATTTTTTTCTTCGTATAATGAACTGGTCCCCCCCCCCCCCAAAAAAAAAACACACCCCCAACAAACCAAAATTTCTGCTAGCTTTGCCTGTGGACTCTGAAACTGGCTCTACCCTTTCCTTTGTCTGCTTTGCAGGTGGAGGGCAATGCCACCCCTTTCCCTGAACCTACGGGCTCCACATTATACCCTAAGTCTGAGGACCATCTCCGGGAGAGGCACCTCGGCCAATCCAGAGACAGGCAGGCTTCCTCGCCCCCACCTGGCTGAGCACCAGGGCCCCCAGGCAGCGAGGGGCTGAGGGCTCAGGGAGCGGGCGGGTGGCCATGCTGTCCACTCCCGCAGGCTGCTCCATCTCAGCCTGAGAGGGGAGGGCAGGCTTTTGTCTCCTACTTATTCCATTTGCGTTTCACCCAGGGGCAGTGATGTGTGTGTGTTTGTGTGTTAGAGAGAGATGGGACGATGAGTTCATGCATCTTCCTACTTAATCGGAATGAACATACGGTAGGTACCCCAAAAGGACATGCTCCCTGCTCTGGTTGGACCTGGGAAAACCCAAAACTGCCAAATCCGAGTGAGGAAAACAGGCGTCCTGCCTGTGACCAGTCCCACAGCACAGACACACAGGCGCGCACACACACCCCGTGCACACTGCGACGTACTTACAAATGAGCACACGCACGCCCCGCTGTGCAGCACAGCTGTGTTCTAATATAGAGAATTTACAAAATATAGAATTTGGTATATTTGTTAGATCTCCAAGGTTTTCGAGAATACAAAATAAAAAATACAAAAAGACACGTCGGGACCCCGGCCTCCCTCCCCAGCAGCATCCCCGGTGGCCTGCGGGTCTCTCACACGTCGGACAACTAGCAGAGGCTAAAGAAGGGCGCAGAAACAGGTTTTGTTTTATTTAATAAATACTTTCCTTTTCTCAGAGCCGCCGCTCCTGGCTGCGAGTGCTCTGGCCTCCCCCTCGCCGTTAGTCCTCCTCCCCTCAGCGGGGCACTGTCTGTGCGTGTCTGTGGGCGGAGTGGGGACCGCGGAGAAGGCCACAGTCCTTCCAAAGCCAGCAGCACTCCTGCCCGGCGGCCGCCTCCGTGGGGCAGGGGCCCGGTCTGTCTGAAGTTTAAAGGCTCGTATAGAAAAGCAGACCCGTCAGGACCCCTCAGCTCCCTCCAGCCAGAGCCGCTCGCCTTCCCACCCAGGCCTCTCCCTCAGCCCTGCCCTCGGCGCTGGGCGGCCATGCGCTGATCCACGCGCCAGGAGCTGCTCCACCATCACAGCAGCAGCAGCAGCAGCACCCATCCGAAAACTCAAGATCCAGGTCGCGCCCCGCAGTGCCTTCTGCAGAGGGAGTCATCTTTGGTCAGCGTGGTGCTCGCAGGACGCAGGCACCCGGCCTGGGCCAGAGGCCGCCGCCCGCCCACGAAGGCAGAAGCTGCCTTTCGGAATCAACGTGGGAAATCTCACGGGCGCGGCCACCCGGGCGGGGGCGCGGGCTCCCACCGGCCCGCCTGGCACACAAGGAAGCCGTCATCCCGTTTCTCCGGAGGCCAGCTGCCTGGCATCGCTGGCTGGCAGCTGCTAACTGAGCGGGGGCCCTCCGTTGAGGAAGTAGGTCGTCATCTCGCCTTTGCCCTTGACCTTGACCACGCCCCGGCACTCCAGCTGGTACGTGTTGGCCGCCAGCACCTGGTACATGTCCGTGGTGACCTGAGGAGGGAGGGGGAGGGAGGACAGGCCATCCACGACCCGAGCCATGAGTCTGCCCTCGGGCACAGCTGCCTTGGACGGAAGGTCGGGTGGTGGGGGGGGGTCAGCTCCCTGTCCCGGACTCTCGGGGATGGACGCTGCTCGCCCAGGAAAGTGCCTCTCCGTGCTGTGCCAGCAGGGGCAGGTCGTTTTCCAAGATCTCCCTCCACGCAGCGCGCAAGTATTTCAGGTGGCCCACAGAGAGCGGGAGGATGCTTACCTCACCTACTCTGTGACGGAAGTACTATGATCTCAGGCTTAAAACATCTGAGCCACTGCCTGAGGTTACACAGCTAGGGCTGGGCAGGGCCCGATTCAGTACCTCCCGTCTCTCCTTCAGCTTTGGGAACAAAGAGGAGGACTCACAGGCGGCTCTGGTGATCGCACTGCACTTGTGCAGGGGGAGGGGGAGGGGGAGGAGAGGGGTGACGGGGCAGCAGAGGACAAATGCCCCACAAGGGGATCCAAGAGCCATTTCTGAGTGTGGCCAGCACTCCTCCACCAGCCACGGCAGCTCCCCCGGCAAGTGTCCCGGCCCAGCCCAGCCACCAGGCCAGGGAGGGAGGGGCCAGAAACCTCCGGGTGGGCTGCGGGGCAATGCCCCTGCTGTGACACTAAGTGCCTTCATCCGCAGCGAGACCCTATTGAGGAGAGGTGCCGGGCTATTGTGTGGTTGCTTACAGCGTCCTTCATACCCGTCGTGGGTGAGGTTAGGAGCTCGGCAAACACACAGTCCTCTCTTCTCATCTCCCCTCACGACCCCCAGTTCCCATCTGCTGTCCCTTCTCCCTTGGCACAGGGATGGAGGGAGAGGCCATTGACCAGGCCCCGCAGACAGCACCACAAGCCAGCCAGAGTCCCCACACAAGAGCGAAGTTAGGGGACTTCTGAGTGGTGTCAGCGTGAGCGGAAGACCACAATACAAGCACCATTAGCATTTGGGACATCGGAGGCCCGGAAAGCGAAGGGGCCTGCCCACAGCTCACAGAGAACTGGGGTATGGGGAGGTGGGGTGCAGGACTAAGCCCAGTCCAGGCTTCTCTGCTGTCAGATTGAAGCAGAATGAATCAGGAAGCCCTGAGAAAACAAAGAACAGCAGAGGAAGAGAGGCTGGCCTGGGAACCACAAGCCGCGGCTTACTAAGGCTGTGGGAGAAGGAAAAGGCTGGCTCTCTGGCCAAGCTTGGGGCTGCGGGGCTGGTGGAGACACCGTCCCAGGGATGGACCAGGCCCTGAGTGCTGCAGCTTCACTGCGCAAGTCCCAGCTCCCTGGGTCATCTTCCTGTCCCTCTGTGTGCCTGGGTTGTGGCATAAGCACTCCCTGCTATGCCCTCTCATTCCTTCGGGGGCAGCAGAGGGCTCCGCACAGGGCTGGGGATCTGTCCAAGGTGCTGAGAGCCTGAACCCCATGGTGTTCTCCAAGCTTCACAGACATCAGTGCCAACCACCCAATCCCTCTCAAATGAAATTCTGACTGGAAACGGTGGGCGGCCTGCCCCACAGACCACTGAGCATCAGACAGAGGCCCCGGGGTGGCGGGCGGTGGACGCTCCTGTGCTCACCTGGATGCGGTCTGGCACGCCGGTGCTGTCCATGCGGCTGGCCACGTTCACGGTATTGCCCCAGATGTCGTACTGAGGCTTGCGGGCCCCGATCACCCCAGCCACCACGGGGCCGATGTTGAGCCCTGCAGGGGACAGAAGCCAGCACGCTCGTCAGGATCAGAGCAGCGCTGGCCCTCACCCCCATTCCTCTCTGCGTGCCCGGCTTCTCCCTTGGACTCTCGGTCTGAACATACCCAGGGTCCTCCAGCCCCAAGGCCCCGATTAACCCTCTGCTCCTATCAAATGCCGTGACGGAAGGTTACAGGAACCTGTTCACACCTGTGTCCTCGCCACCCAGGAATGCTCAGCTCCTGCGTGGCCATCGCCAGGATGCCCTCTGCCAGGCTTCTAGTGACCTCGTGCATCACCTAATTGCCTTTCCCTAGTCGTCCCTCTCTCAGTGGCATTTAAGTTTTCACCTTCAGTTTAGACTCAGCATACCAGAACCTGCCCATTTCTTTGCCACCTGAGGTTCCCAGCTAGTTGTCTACGTGTCACCCAGTCTCCAGTCTTGGCCCGAGGAAAGAGGGGAGGCAGCTTACAAAAATACAAACCAATGTAGGTGGAAAAGATGGGGTGCGAGGACAATAAAAATAGCCATTTCATGAAACCAGGGGTGAAGGTAACACAGAAATACAGGCTGCACGGCAGTGAGGCAGACCCCCCGCTGGGCCCTCTAGCAGCCAGTGCAAAGTGAGATCCGGCCAAGGCCCCCGGATACCACGGCCGCTGGTTCAGACAAAGCCCAGTCCCCACAAAATGTCTCCAGGGCCAACAATAATCACAATATTGATGGTCAGCAATCCAATATTTTGGTTTTATGTGTGAATTTTGAGGACTGAGATACCAGTATTTATGTTGGTGAATTAGTGTTCCTTTAAAAAAAAAAAATGAAATCTGAATCATTCATGGCTTGAGACATACCAGGGAGCTGATAACGCATTAGAAGTCTGAAAAATACAAAGTTCTGCTCTTTCAGAAACCACCCTTCACCCCACCACCCTCAAAAGGGGGACGGCAGCAGGAGGAAGTGGGGGGCTGGGTGGCAAAGGTGGCTGAATTGAGAAGTGCAGGGGGGTAGTTACAAAATAGTCATGGGAATGCAAAGTACAGCATAGGGAGTCTATACTAGTAACAGGGTAATATGCTAATTAGACCAACATCTTCCGGACGTCCTTCTGGACAAAGCCATGGTAGCAGGGGCCGAGACAGAGGTGGTTAGGGGCCATCAGGTCAGCAGGGGGGAGCAGTTAGGGGGCGATCAGGCTGGCAGGCAGAGGCAGTTAGGGGTGATCTGGCCAGCAGGGGAATGGTTAGGGGCATCAGGCCAGCAGGCAGAGGTGGTTGGGGCAATTGGGCAGGCAGGCAGGCGAGTAGTTAGGAGCCAGCAGTCCCAGATTTCGAGAGGGATGTCCGGGATCGGGCCTAAACCGGCAGTCAGACATCCCCCAAGGGATCCTGGATTGGAGAGGGTGCAGGCTGGGTTGAGGGACCCCCTCCCCACTATGCATGAATTCCATGCACTGGGCCTCTAGACTCGTCAATAATATTGTAATCACTGTGTATGTTTAAAATATCGGGGGACCACTTTGTAAAGTTTATGGTTGCCTAGCCAGTATGCTGTACACCTGAAACCAGTACAAACTAATACTGAGTGTGAACTGCAATTGAAATTAAAAAAAGAAGGAAGAAGAGGAGGGCAGCAACACTCAGCAAAGCAAAATCCCTTCTGCCGAAACCACGCACACCGGCTGCCAGGATGTCCTTGGTAAGATATATGCTAAGAACAAAACGAGCTGCAGAAGCACCTTGAACTTTATGGAGCAACACGTTCAGAGTCGTAATCTGAAACCACCTCGCAGCTACAGTAGGTGGGGCCTGCCTGCCTGAGTCCACGTGCGTGAGTTTTCACTGTGCTATTCTTTCAACTCTTCTGCAGAGCTGAAGCTTGTCAGAGCACAAGGTTGGGGCAATAAAACAACAACATTAAGGACCGAAAAAATTATACAGGGTTTGGTTCACAGAGTTTCTGCACAGGGAGAACATGGTCCTGACTGTGACATGGACCAGGGTCTCTGCTCAGAACCAGCTCCCACCCTGGGGCACCACCTGGCATCTGCCAGCCCCTCGGAGCCACCCACCGAGGGCCGAGGTGGTTGGCAGAGATCCCAGGGAGACTTGACATGCTCCCTGTTTCTCTGCCCACTGACGCAGCTTAGGAAAGCTCTCCCGGCCCCCAGGACACGGTGCTCACTCAGGGACCGCCGGCAACTCGGCAGTAACCCTGCCGACCCGTCTTGTTTCTTACGATGTCGAAACAATCATTTCCTTGTCATTTTGCACGGCTCCTTTCTTGGTTAGCTTTTAAAATATTTCACTATATTCGTTTTGCTCACAGATTTGTAGGACTGTTAGGTTCAATATTTTTATAAATTTGCAAACCAAACGACTTGTACTATGTTCACTTTGTATTTAAAACGGGCAAGCACTTCATCTCACTGCTTTTCATTCGTGCTGAGTGAATCTGGAACGCTTTTAATAAAACGCTGCTGATAAGCCCGTCTGAGGCGGCCACCAGAAGGCCCTGTGCCCAGCATGCAGCACCCCTTCCGGGCAGGCCCACCCTGGGCACTCAGAAAGAGGTGTCCTGGGCATGCCACCCGCACAGCAGCACGCAGAGAGGGCACCCCTAGGCTCCAGGGGGCATGTGCTCTGGGTGATGGGTCCCGCCCCACCCCCCGGGGCAGGGACGCACTGTGATGCCAGCCTCTGCTTGGACAGGGTCACTGATGCAGACTCTGCGCCCTCAGCCCTCCCAGGCAGCTCACCAATCTTCATCTGGAAGTTGTTGAAGGAGTGCTCGTTGATGTACTTCATCTGGTCCATCAGCTTCATGGCGAAGTCGGCCAGAGCTTTGATGTGCGTCTTGCCCGCCTTGTCGTAGGTGGAGTCGTTCAGGCCGGAGGCGGCCATGTAGGTGCTGCCGATGGTCTTGATCTTTTCCAGCTGCTTAAACCGGTCCTCGCTGATGATCTGAAGAAGGCCAAACCGGGTCACCCCCAAGTCCGGGACACTGAGGTCACAGGGAAGTGCAGCGGCGTGGTCCCCTTGGGTCTCCCCAATTCACACAGAGGGCCTGTCCCTAGCTCCAGCCCCGGGCAAGGCCCCGGTGCTCCCTGACAGAGCCAGGCCTCCTCCAGCGCTTGCTGCTGCAGAGGACTGTGCCCATCTCGGCTGAATCCAGTCACCTCCCTGCCCAGGAGCCCGTGGGCTGCCTCCCACACTGCTGGCCCCGGCTCCCTCATCCCTCTCCTTCCCGAGCTCCGTGCTCAGGCCCTGGGTGGCACTGGGATTGTCCCTCACACTCACTGCACAGTGAGCTCCCAGGGCCGAGGCTGCCCTAATGGGCACAGTATCCCCAGTGCCTGGCACATCCTAGCTCAGTGGTCGGCAAACTCATTAGTCAACGGAGCCAAATATCAACAGTACAACGATTGAAATTTCTTTTGAGAGACAAATTTTTTAAACTTAAACTTTTTCTAATGCCACTTCTTCAAAACAGACTCACCAAGGCTGGGGTATTTTGTGGAAGAGCCACACTCAAGGGGCCAAAGAGCCACATGTGGCTTGAGAGCTGCAGTTTGCTGACCACTGTCCTAGCTCAACTAGGGCGTGATACACAAACAACGAAATGGCTTTGTTTGTGCCGCCGATGTTCAGGGCCTCGCATCTTGTCCTGCCTCCTACTGGGAATTGCTCCTTCCTGAGACTCTCAAAGGCTGGGTCCCAGCCTGGGCCCTGTCCATCCCTCAGTGGCACGAGAGGAAGGGTGGAAGATGGGAATAATTGTCAAGTCAGCTAGGCAGGGCCCCAGTGGGCAGCTCAGGTGCTAATTCAAACACCCTGGGCTGACACCTTAGACAAGGCACAATGTCCGTGGGTCTGTTTCCTCATCTGTAACATGATGATAGGGAGGGAATGTACGCAAGGAGCCTGGGACCCCACAGCCGGGGCTCCTGATGTCACCGGTCATATCTGGTGAGGCGAGAGGGGGCACCAGGTCTCCTAACTGCCCCCCTCCCGGGACCCGAGTGCCCCTCGGCTGGCCCTGCACCTCATCGAAGTCGGCGATGATCTCGTTGAGCAGCCGCAGGCACTCGACGCCCTCGTTGTTGGCCTCCAGCTCCACGTAGAACTCGGAGAAGTTGGCGATGGAGGCGAACATGACGGCCACGCACTCGCACGACTGGTAGTAGAGCTCGTCGTTGCGCCGCTCCCGGGCCAGGAAGTGGGCGGCCACGTCCTTGGGCAGGATGTTGTGCAGCAGCCGCCGGTTGTAGGCCTGCAGCTCCTCCATCTCCTCCTTCTCCTCCGTGGCCTGCGACAGAGGACGGTCAGAGGGTGGGCCGAGCAATGTGAGGGCTTATAAGAGAGTTTGAGCCCGGCTAGTGTGGCCCAACCACATCCCGAGACTCAGTGGCCTCCAGCCCAGCTGGTGGTGGGAATGTGACCCGTGGGTGCCCCTCCCAGAGAGCAGATGCCCAGAGGGGCAGGCAGAGTGGGAGTGTAGCTGGGGACGGGGACCGAGGGGACATGGTGACGGATGGGATCAGAGGCCAAACCCCCAGGCCCTGGCCAGGTGCTTCCGCCACCTGCGGGCCTCGGCCCAAGTCAGGCTGGGCAGCTGCCAACACAGCCAGATGCTTTTAGGGTTGGCCTCGGGCCGGGCAGGAAGGCTCCGGGGGCAGTGCTGTGGGAGGAAGACAGTGTGGGCTGTCCCCTGAGAACTGAGACCAGCGCTTCTCCAGGAGGGGGCCTTGCGGGTAAGGGTGTTCCTGGTGCAGGGGTTCAGGGAAGCTATGGACCCCAGGCCTCCTGCTTTCCTGTCAGCACCTACCCGCCCACCATGACCACAGATCCCTCAGGTGAGAATTAGAAACAATAATTAAAAGAACTGGGTCCCCTGGCAAAATGTAAATGGGCTTTGTGGGTGGAATGAAGCTGTGCCAGTGTTGATTTCCTGAGTAGGGGTGACGATGGAGTGTCTTTGCTTTTTGAAGGCGGACATTGGAAAATTTGGGGGTGATGGGGCATCATGTCAAAAGCGTGGGGGGCAGGGTGATTGAGCAAATGCAGAAAAAATGGTTAGGAAATCCGGTGAAGGGACTGTGGAGCTCTCTATGCTGTTCTTATAACTTTTCTGTAGGTTTTAAATTATTTTTTAAAACTTCCTTCCCTCAGCAGCCAGGCCCAGAGCAGCTGGGTCTGGTGCGGCCAGGCCCAGAGCAGCGGCTGCCAGGCTGGGAGCGACCAGGCCTGGAGCAGCAGCAGCCAAGTCCAGAGCAACTAGGTCGGGAGCGGCAATGACCAGATCCGGAGCAGCTGGTTGTGGAACAAACCAGAGCAACAGAGGCCAGGCCCGGAGCAGCCAGGCCCGGAACAGCTCGCTCCTCGCCTGACCCCGCCCCACGGCTGCCTCTCAGACATGGCTGGAAACTTTTGCGGGAACTTGAGGGTCTGCTGAATCAAGTGATGAAGGCTTAGATCTGGATGTGTTGAGTTAGTATAGTGCTGGGGTGTTGATCTGTGAGTGCCTTGGATGAGGCCTGGATGAGGCAGGTTGACCTATTTGGAAATGTCTTTTGTGTGAAGTGTATCATTGGGCATGTGGAGGTATTATTGATATAAGAAAATGCTAACTAACTGATTTGCTATCTGAAAAGGGATTTACTATCGGGGAAAGGGAGGGAGGAAGAGACTGAACATAAACTGTGCACCTATGGATGAGGACAATGGGGGATGGGGAGGGGGCGGAAGGTGGGGTGGGAACCTGGTGGAGGGGGGAAGAAATGAGGAACCTTTGTAATAATATGAACAATAAAGATTGATAAAAAAATAAATAAATAAATAAATAAAACACTTAAAAAAAACAAACAAAAAAAAAACTTCCTCCCCTCAAAAAGGTAAAAATGGTGGGGGAGCAGAGCTGTGGGGCCGGAGGAGGCCGGGGAGAAGAGATACTAAGTGAAATCAACCTGTGTCTGCGGCCATGTGTGGAGAGAAACACTAATGACACGTGTCTCTGGGGCTGCAGACGCGCTGAGGCGTGACTGAGAACAGCCTAGTTGCCAAACCTCCCCAAACCCTCGCACCGCTGCGGGGCCGGGGGCAGCCCAGGGCTGCGGGGGGAATGGGGACTGGGCATGTGCGTGGGCCTCAGACCAGGGGCCCACGGAGGCCCCACACTCCTCTCTGCAGCCAGTGCAGCCTCATCCCTGAGGTCCCTCCCTGCCCAGGGCTTCTGAGGGCCATTCCCATGGAAAACGTGTTCCCCAACTACAGGGCGTCCTCACTGGAGACCTCAGCCAGACCTCGTGCAGAACACCCAGCAGCAGGGCAACCAGACACCCCATAGCACCCAGTGAAATTCCAGGGCCTCCTGCCGCGGCCAGAAGACTTCAATCTCAAGGTTAATGAGGATGGAGGCGGCCTAACCAGCTGCAGATGAGCTGGAGAAGTGATCTGGACATAGGGGCCAGGCCAGGGGGGACAGAGACTGGGCTACGCCATGTCCTGCAAGAGCTGGGCTGGAATAACGGGCTTTGGCACTGTGAGTGTGCTGGGGCGCCCTCTCCTGGACCTTTTCAGGCAGTCGGCCAGATAACCAGAGCCGCTGCCTGCACCTGGAGCGCCCTGTGAACGGCCCAGCAGCGCCCCCTCCTGCAGGTGGGTCCCTCAGGGTGCAGGGCACGAAGCCTGGAGGCAGGGCGCTGGTGGGTTTCAGCCCTTTTGGGCACCCAGCACCCACTGCTGCTCCTTTCTAAGACACTTTCACCAGGGCCAGGGCACGGTCACTTGGCAGATTTTCCTATCGATGGTCTGATGCCCTTCCCATTCATCCCCACCCTCCACCCCCCTGAGAATCTGGCTCAGTTCTGGTCACATTCAGCCCTCTTCCTCTTCTCACCCACCCTCCTTCTGCTCCCACCACAGATGTGGCCTGTCCACACGACTCTAAGCGCTCACCATATCTGTGTCAGGAGCACATCTCCTGGGCCCATCAGAGCCCAGCACTGTCCAGGGTGGGTTTGGCGGGAATAAGCTCTGGGGTTCTGCCTCCTGGCCCCCGAGGGCAGGGAGCAGACCTGCTGGGGCGTGGAGTCCTGGTTTACTGGGACAAGGCCTGAGCAGGACATGGTCAGGTCAGGGCAGAACGAAGACCCAGCCGAACCTCGGTGATGGGCTGCTTGCTCACAAAGTGCTGTGAGGCCTGGGTGCCACTCCCCCCCCCCACCACCACCACCACAGTTCTAGCCCCAGGGCCACCCACCTGCAGTTTCCAGAGGAAGTCGAGGCGGGCGGTGGACTCCACCTGCTGGGCGTGCAGGTACAGGGCCAGCACGAAGACTGAGATGATGATGGGTGTCACCACCTTCAGCGCCACCTTGGTCGCGTGCTCAGGGCTGCGGGCAGGAGGCAGATACCCTGGCACCTCATGGCGGGCTCCTCGGGCCTTTCGTCTTCCGCCCACTGTGTGGCCTCCCTCTCCTCGCCTCCTGCTCACATGGGGCCTGAGGTGCGCCTGGGCGAGCCCCCCTGACTGGAAGCCCATTGTCCCAGCCCCGCCCAGCCTGCAGCTCCCCGGCCACGGCTCCTCTCCCAGCTCCTGCCCCCAGGGGACCTTCCCGCTGGTCACTCCTCTCCCAGCTCCTGCCCCCAGGGGACCTTCCCGTTGGTCACTCCTCTCCCAGCTCCTGACCCCCAGGGGACCTTCCCGTTGGTCACTCCTCTCCCAGCTCCTGACCCCAGGGGACCTCCCCGCTGGTCCCGTCAGAGGGTGGAGGAGGCCCGCGGGAAAGGCTACGCGTCCATCCTAGGTCTCTCAGAGGACGAGACAGGCTGTGGGCACAGTGACACGGGAGCAAGGCAGGCCACACTGGCCGTCTCCGGGCAAGTCTCTTACCCTCTCGGAACCTTAGTTTCTTAATAGCAGTGCCCACACTTCAAATTTGAGACAAAAATTAAAAACGTTACATACAAATTCTTTGTACCTAATGGTAGGAGCTCCAAAAATGCTAAGTAATTACTATCTAGTTATATTTCTGTTAACATAAAACAAAAACACTCTTGATAAAAGCAGGTCTCCCAATCCCTGCACCTTGTGCCAGCAAAGAGCTCAGATCTTGAATGCAGCCTGATGAGGGCCTAACCCCACACCCGGAGGCTGGGGGGTAAGGGGGTGAGGGGGCACTGGTTCCTGTCCTTTAGGCCTGAGGGTGGACACACGCTCCTGGGGAGGAGCCTGAGGCTGAATGCTTTAAGGTGAAGCCTGTGGAATGGCCTGTGGGTCCTGAGGCCCCAGCTGCCAAGTCTGTAGATCATCTTGGGGTGATGGGGATCATAAAAAAAAGGGCATCTACCCAATGAGGCCCCTTGATACGAGGGAGGGGAGGGCCACCCGCCACTAAGCCCCCTCCCACCTGGGCCCCGCTGCTCCGTGCGAAGGGCAGGGACAGGCCCTCTCTGAGAACTCAGAGAGAGAGAGGGAGAGAGGGGGAGAGAGAGAGAGAGAGAGGACGTCAACTCACCACTGGGAGGTCCCGTTGTTGTTGAAGTCTCTGTGAACAGGAGTGGGGAGGGCTGCTCAGGGCCACTCGGCAGCTCAGTGCCTGCTGTGTCCCCCTCACCCTGCTGTCTCCCCACCCTGCTCTGATCCCCACTCTGCTGTCCACCCACCCTGCTCTGACCCCACCCTGCTCTGACCCTCACCCTGCTCTGATCCCCACTCTGCTATCCCCCACCTTGCTGTGCCCACCCTGCCATGCCCCACCCTGCTCTGACCCTCATGTCCAGTACTGCTCTTCTCACTGCTGGTGCCCTTTCGGCCTGCCGCCAGCACCCCTCCTGACCCAGGGAAGGTCTCAGGATGGGAGGCTTGCAGAAAGCCCAGTACCACCTGGCATCTAGGCGCCGGGACCACACACTACCCAGCCTTCACCGGGGACCTGGGGACCCGGGCGTACCCACCTCTCCCAGCCCAGCCCTCTGCTGCCAGAGGAGGGGGAGGAGGATCACACTGCACCGTCCAGCATGGCAGCCACTGGCCACAGGGGCTCCTGAGCTTAAAGCGGGACTGAGGGCATGTGGCCTTGCTAATGCAGCTGCTGGAGGATTCTGAATGACAGCTGTGGTTTGCATTATTCCTCTATTGGGCAGCGATGCGCCAGAGCCAAGCCAGGGTCTCCCAACCCAGAAATGGCCTCCGTTCTCTGCTGCTACTCCAGCGGGAGGAGAGGAGAGAAGGGAGAAGAGAGGAGAGAGGAGGGGAGGCGGGTCTAGGAGAGCCTAGGGGTGGGGGATGAGCAGGTAAGAAAGAAGAGGCCAAGTTCCCGCCCCCACAGGGCCCCTGGGTAGGAGGGCCCGGCCCACCCTCCTCTCCTCCTCGGGCTGCAGCCTGCGCCACCCCGGCGCTGCCCTGTCTCCGCCAGCTGCCCTCAGCCCCGTCACCAGAGGTCCCCACCGAATCTGACTTAATCCTTCATCACCCCATCTTCTCAGTGACACTCTCCTCACAGGAGGGGCCTGTGCCTCCCCGCCCGGCTCAGCGGTGCGCGTTCTGGGATTAAGGGGCCCCTCCGTCTGGTTCAGAGAAGCAGTTTGCCACATTTCCAGGGGACAGACCTGTCACTCACACTCTTCCTGCTTCCGGAGTGCGAGTGCATGTTGGGGGGGGGGGCGAGGGAGTGTACTGCATATCATACTACACTTTACATACCTTTTACTTAAGGTGACCAGACGCTCCGCTTTTGGGGGGACAGTCCTGCTTTTTAACAATTTGTCCCACGGCGTTTTAAAAAAGTCCCGATTTTGGGAAAAATCGGGACTTTTTAAAAATGCCGCGGGACGCGGGACAAATTGTTAAAAAGCGGGACATCTGGATACATTAATTTTACTACCATGGTATTATTATTATTCCCATTTTCCTGGGAGAAATAACGAGGCTCAGGCAAAATAGTAGTCACATGCGTATCTGAGGCTGGGACTGAAACTCAACTTGACCCAAAGCTAGACAGAGGTCTTGCCCCTCAGTAATCTGACATCGGCTGCTCTATGGCCAGGCTGACGGCCAGCTAGAGAGCCTGGGGCCCTGCGTCCACACCCAGCCACCCCACCCTCCACCCCCCACCTCAGACTGTGGGACTTCACCCCCCGCCATAACAGGCAGGAGCCTCTGAGCCAGGGCCAAACCACCCAACGCCCCTGGCAGCGCTGCCTGCTTCGTGGGGCGGCTGAGGATGGGAAGTGATCCCGCATGTCCAAGGGCCTGGCGCCAGGGGGGACACAGGGTCCATGAGCACAGGGGCCGTTCCTCTGCTCCCAAAGACCTTGCTAGCCATCCCTGTGACCCCTGACCCCTGGAGTGAAAACAGCTCCTCAGAGGCTGCCCTGCAAGCGTCAGGGACAATGATCTGAGGCCCAAGGGCAGGACTGAGTAGGAAACGGGAGGGAACAGTGGGGCCAGACACCCCGAGGCTACTGGGAAAGGGGGAAACAGAGAGAAATTAGGTGGTCAGAGTGGGTAGCCACAGAACACTCTATCCACCCCACACGCCCAGCCCAGGGCCCAGCCTCCTGCTCTTCCCACCTTTCTGCAATGCCCAGACCCAGGGGGGTCTGAGGAGGGTGCCACCTACATGGCATTGGCAGTGACCAAAAGGTCGGCATTGTCAAAGAGCGTCACACCAGGCACCTCCACGATGAGCACGTATATGAGCTCGATGGCCAGCATAAGCACCAGCTTCCCAATACAGCTGATTTGCAGGAACACGGAGCAGGCCAGCAGGCTAAGCAGCACGCTGTAGGTGAAGTACTAGGGAGAGAGAGCAGCAGGCCTCAGCGGCCGGGCCCCGCCCTCCCCGGGCCCCGCCCTCCCCGGGCCCCGCCCTCCCCGGGCCCCGCCCTCCCCGGGCCCGCCCTCCCCGGGCCCGCCCTCCCGGGCCCCGCCCTCCCGGGCCCCGCCCCCCAGCATCCATCCAGCCTGAGGCGGCCTCGGTGAAGCCTGGCCTGGGGCTTTTTCTGCTGATGCAAACCTGTGGTGTGAGGTGAAGGGCCCTGGTAAGGAACCAGGAGCTGGGGCTCCGGGCTGGGTTTGACCAGCATGGTCAGTCAGTAGGGCCCCGGGTTAGAGCGCAGATCCAGGCTCAGGCTGGCTTGAGTTACACCCAGATTCACTATGGACTGTCTGTGTGACGTGGGCCACGAATTCCACCTCTCTAAACCTTAGTTCTCTGTTTGTAAAATCCCCTCTCTCATGGGCACAAGGTGAGGATCGCACAGGAAGCGGTCATCTGGTGCAGTGCCCTGCACCCTCAACAACGGTGGGGATCGCAGGCCCCACACTCCTGATTTGCGGCTTTAAATCCGAAGAAGCTCCAAAAACCGAAATTGTGTTCCTAGCCGATGTGGTGGCAACCTGACCCACCTGAGGTGCCGCGAATTCCCATCTGTGCCCTGCTTCCTGTGACTATTCATACATTTAGCTGCAGAAATATTACCATGGTTCACTATCAGCTACTCCTCACACTGCACTGGGGGCGTGAGGTAACCTTTTAAAACACGAAAAGTTCGGAAGCCAAACCTATATCTGACCGGGCAGGCTCCGGACGAGGGGTGGTGGCCCTGTGCGATTTACTTGGGAGGAAGTGTCTTCGGCCTCCGAGCCTCCATTTCTCAGACGGCCGAGGGGCCGATCCAGGTAGACTCAGAGGCCCCTTCTGCTCTGCCACCCCCAGGGCTAATCCCGGACATGCTGGCATCTATTATGTTGTTCCTGCTTCAAATGTAGCATCATTATTTCTGAGTCAGACACTAGGACTCGCTGTGCACTGCCTCTCTGCCTTGGCTGGAGGCCAAAGGGCGGTGGCTGGCAGTGAGGTGGGCCCCAGGCTGGACTTCCTGCCTCCTCAGGCCTTCAGGAACCCCGAGAGGGGCTGCAGAGGACCCCTGTGATGGAAAGGGGAGGGACCAGCCTCAGGTCACCACCAGGAACAGGGGCAGAGGAGGGAAGAGGGAAGGCAGACCCAGTTCATTCTGCCCAAGGATAAGCAGCCCGTCCTTGAGGGATGGGAAAGGGGCACCAAGAGCCTGCCTGGAGGGCCACTGGGACCCCAGCCCAGACAGCCAGGAGGCTTAAGCCTCATGCTGGGCTGCCCCAGGGCCTCAGGGTGTGTGACTCAGAGCAGCCATGTGGGGAGGGTCAGCCCTGGAGCCTGGAGCCAGCAGGAATAAGCAGGCTGAAACTGGTGGTGCTGGTGAGGACTGAGGGCTGGCAGCTAGACCACCCGTCTCCAGAAAACGGGGAGCTAGAACAGGCTCTGCCGATGCCCTCTTCCCACTCCTCGGCTTCTTCCCTGGAGCAACCGCCAAGGGACAAGTGCGAGACCAGAAACAGCTTCTGCTCCTCAGCAAACAGCCCTCAGGCGGCAGCTCCTGTGAGCTCTTAGCCAGATGTGAGGAGGGACAGAGGCGGGAGTAGAGGGCGGGTGGCTGAGACGCCTAGGCCCTGCAGGTGCCTGTGGAGTGTGGCCTGGCTGCACCGGGGAGAGGAAGAGGGGAAGAGCCGGTCTAGGAAGCATCTCGGAGTCCTGCTCCTCACTGAGTTTCCCTTGCCCTGTCGGTGCCACAAGGCCGACCAGGCTCCCTCCCAGGGACGGGAGAGGCGCTGCGGCCGCCCATGGGCCTGAGCTGCTGCTCTGGAGCCTGTGAGCCATGGGCTCCTTGGGAGCTGGACGGATGCTGGGACCCTCTCCCCAGGAAAAGGCAAACTGCCGCCTGCTTACAGGCTTCACATGAAATGCCCAGGGAACTGTGGTGTCTGTGGTGTGGGAGTCACCCAGAGCGCGGGGGGCATGCCCTGCGTTGGAAACCTGGCCTGCTGCTCCCTTGCAAACCGGTCCCCGAGCACATGCCGTGAGGTGACGGCAGCAGCTCGCCGGCCACGGGCATTTAACCCACGTGCTTCCTAAGGGCTCTCAGAGCCACTGTCGAACCCAGTCAGCTACAGGCACACGGTTTCTTCTCGGGGCGACGACAATGTTCTAACACTAGATTGTGATGAAGGCTGCGCAGGCCTGTCACACCACCAACAGCTGCCAGACTGCACACTCTGCATGGGTGACCTTCTTGTGCCCCTGCTCTCTGGCCCACAGTAGGGGTTTGGCCCGGTTCTGCAGAGGCAGCCGTGGGTCCTGCCCAAGCCCAGGGTCCAGACACAGCCCCGCCCCCCGGGCTCAGAGCACAAACTCCGGAGCCAGATGACCTGGGTAGGAGCCTGGCTCTGTCTCTTACTCCCTGCCTGACCTTGAGCAAGTAAATGTGTAAGCTGTCCGTGCCTCGGTTTCATTTGCATAGAGGAGACCATGGCCGCCCCCCGTGTCACAGAGTTGCTGTGAAGGTGACAGAGTAAATGTACGGAACGCGCTCAGCACAGCGCCCCCAGGTGGTAAGTGCTGTGTGAGCAGGGCTGTGCCATTGCTGGTGTTACTGTGGCCCTGAGGCTGGCCGCCTTCACCGGTGTCTGGCACGTGGGGTGAGCGAGATCGAGGAAATGAGGTCAGGGAAAGGGCAGTGACCTTGGAGCCCCTGACTGTCCCTCAGAGCAGCCCAGGGCAGAGAGGGGGTTGGGGGAGGCCCTCCCTCTGCGCCCGCCCGCCCTCTGGCCCGGTACCTCGGGGAAGTTGCAGTTGGGCCAGGGGCTGCCGCAGAAGCCCTGCTCGTCCCCCAGGCTGTAGTTGACGGCGGACTCCACCACGTGGCATGCGTTGACCTGGCCGGTGCTGACGTTGTGCTCCTCTGCCAGGCAGCCGAACAGGTCCTGGGAGTTGCACATGAACTGGGGGCGGGGAGGAGAGGGTCGGCTGAGGGACAGGCCCATCCCCACAGGGCAGGCGGTTCCTGTTCACGCTCCTCCGTCTTGGGTGCAGCCTGATCCCGACCCTGGACAGGAGGGGCCTGGAAGAGGCGGAGGACCCGGCCGTGCCCAGGGCAGGGCTCCTTCACCTCCCCTGGGGAGAGGCTCTAGGAGTAAACCTGATCCCAGGCCTGAGGTGGGACCCAAAGAAGACTTTCTGGGAGGGGGAACTCCAGGGTTTGGGGGAGACTCTCCTCCCAGCCCAAGCTCGAGGGGTGCAGGCCTTCCCCAGTTTCACCCAATGGGGCTGGAGAGGTGGGACCACCCACCATGTTGACAAAAGCCGACAGGAACACCAGGGTGATGGTGAACACCCCGACCAGGGTGCTGTTCATCTTGGACCGCACGATCTTCCTGGAGAGGGTCTGCAGGGGGCCTGGGAAGAGCTGGGGAGGGCGGAGGAGGGAGAGGGAGAGAGACACAGAATTCAGTGGGCACGCCACAGCCGCCTAGAACCAGATCTCCCGTCACCTTTGCCTCTGGCCAGCTGGCGCAGGGCCCTCCTGAACAGCCTCCCGTGTGTGTGCCTCCGCCTGGCACCACGGCTTCCGGGCCACAGCCCAGGCTGTGCAGCTGGCCAGGGGCGGGTCTGCCGGGACCTTCCAGGTGAGAGAAGCAGGATGGGAGGAAGAAGGAAAGATGCCCTCCTGACTAAGGTGACCAGACATCCCACTTTTGGCGGGACAGTCCCGATTTTTAGCAATTTGTCCCGCGGCGTTTTAAAACATCGGGACTTTTTTTTTAAAACGTCCCGGCACTCAGGACAAATTGTTAAAAAGTGGGACGTCTGGTCACCTTTCTCTTGACTCCAACAACAAGCAGAGGGAAAGCACTAGTACCCACTGTGAATTCTGGGAGTTACAAACAGGGGGAGGCAGAAGGTGGCAGCTGAGGGAGCCAGGGTCAGGAGTCTCCTCGGCAGGAAGAGCTGAGGCCCGGTGTGCGGAGGAAGGGGTGAGCTGGTGAGAAGGGGCTCACAGGGCAGGGCAGCCTGTGAGCAGGAGCGGGGGCCACAGGCCAGGGAGCTCAGGGAGCTTTTCAGCGGGATGCTCATGGGTCTGCCGTTTCCCTCGCCCAGCCCTCCATGTATTTCCTTCAACTAGACAAACTGTGCGTCCACTAAAAGACTCAGCGGTTTTGGTAGTGATAGGATCGGGCCCCAGGAAGTCTGACACAGTCGGCCTTGTCCGCCATGTCCTCCGCTTCTCCCAACCAGCCTGGACTAAGAAGGAGCCGGCATGGAAACTGCCCAAGAGCCCATCAGTTTGATGAAGGGGTCAACAGGTGTGCTTTAGCCACACAATGGAGTATGATGTGGCCATAACAATAAAGGGCTGGTACATGATGGCATGACATGGGTGAACCTTCACAATACGATGCTAAGTAAATGAAGCCGATTTCAAAGGCCACCTATGGTATGATCCCACTTATACGAAATGTCCAGGGCAGGCCGATTCACAGAGAAGGAAAGCAGATTAGAGGTTGCCGGGGCTGTGGCCAGCAAGGGACATGCAGTGTCTGCTGGCAGGCGTGGGGTTTCTTCGGGGGATGATGACAATGTTCTGGCATTCGACAGTGATGCTAGTTGCCCAACTTTATGGATATACCGGAAACTACTAAAGTACAATTCCAGCCGCCTTTGCAACGTGGATTCTATGGCATGTAAATTATATCTCAATAAAGCACTTAGTACGAATCCTGCTCGGCCTCGTACTAGCTGTCTGATCCTGGGGATGTCAGGGAGGGCGCTGGCCCAGGTTTCCTCGTCAGTAAGTAGGGAATATCTTCAAGGTGGCTAAGAAGACTCAAGGAAACGATGCATTGGAAAGTGCTGTGTAAGCTGTTAGATTCCATAGAAAATGTAGTTAATATTTGCATTTTAAAGAGCCATGTTGCCAATAAGTATTAAGGTCCTTGTTTCCTATTGAAGGAATTTTGGGTTTCACAGCTGGGGGAAGCAGTTTGGCATTGGCATCAGGATCTCACTCAGAAATGATGTGACAGATGGTTTCTAATCTTTGCCTGATCCAAGTTTTCATTCCATTCCCACCTCCAACCATGTCGCTTGAATTGTTTTAGTTCTGATCACCCTATTCATCTACTGAAGGGCTTCCTTCATTATCCTGCAGTCACCAAGGATCGGAGCAGCATGCCCGTGGGCTGCCTAGTCAGGGGAGATCTGGAGCCCCACAGGGGCCACCCAGAGGCTAGGAGAAGAACTGCAGGCTTTAAAAAATCCAATCCAGAATGTCATTCGATAACATCCAGTGAATGATTGAGTCTTAGTGCACTGGTTTGCTACAGGCCAATGCCCCTTGTCACCCTTTCAAAAGATCCACTCTTGACTTTAAAACCTCATCTAGAACCCAGGAATTGCTATTTTTTGTTGTTGAAATCTGTAAAAGATGTGACATCCTGCTCTGGTTTATAGAGTATCTCATCTCTTGTAATTAAAAAGTTCATCAGCATGTTGAGCCTAAATCCCACCTTTACTAATAACTACAGCGTGGATGACAAAACTTCACATGGGGCAGAGTCCCGCTGGGGACTGCAGGCAGACCCTGGAGAGCATTTTTACGGCAGGACATTGTGTCTGTGCAAACTAGCTGCTCAATGCTTGCTCACAATCAGAGCTCAGAAAAAGGATCAATGGAAGAAATTCTGAACCAGCACATTCCCAGTCTAATGAACTCAAATCAATGTAATATAAACACGGGAGCGGGGACATAATTAATAAAGCCTGGCAGGGTGAGGGACAGTTTTGATCCTGGCCCCTCTGAAAGTCTCCAGGCAAATCGATAACTTCCCTGGCTGGCGCCTGGTTCCCGTCTGTGATGTCGAGCTAGGCTGTTGCAGAGATGAAAGAAGGTGAGGAAATCTGATGGCAGAAAGTTTAAGAAAACAGCTTTTTTTTTTTTTTTTTTTTTTTGACAAAGAGCTAATAGGAAAGCAGAAAAGTCTTTTACAAGATGAAAACTTTGGAGGCCAAAGAAGGCAGGCAGAGGCTGACCAGACGTCACACCGCTGCTCCCATCCCTGGCCTCTCAGGGGTCAGCTGAGCATGTTAATAAAAGCAGCGTCCTGGAGGGGAAAGCCTGTGGGCTCTGGAGTCAAGAACCACCTGGGTTTAAACCCCAGCTGTGCTGCCTCCGAGCTCCAGGAGCTGGGAAAGCAGCCTTATTAACCTCTCCGAGCCTATTTTCTTCACCTGCCAAGTTGATGCAATAAAAATCACCTAGACCAGTGGTCGGCAAACTCATTAGTCAGCAGAGCCAAATACCAACAGGACAATGATTGAAATTTCTTTGGAGAGCCATATTTTTAAAACTTAAACTTCTTCTAACGCCACTTCTTCAAAAATAGACTCGCCCAGGCTGTGGTATTTTGTGGAAGAGCCACACTTAAGGGGCCAAAGAGCCACATGTGGCTCTCGAGCCGCAGTTTGCTGACCTAGAGGCTCAGGAAGCACAGCTTAAGTGGCACAGCTGGGATCTGGATCCTAGACTTCCTGGCTCAAACGTCAGTGAACACGTGTCAGACAACATCTCCTCTCCCTATTAGACAAAAGGTGGCGCTGAGCATGGTGGTGGGAAGGTGAGGGTGGGAATCCCAAGGGCAGAAGATACTTAAGAGGTGAGGGATGGTGTCGTAAGACCCCGTGTTAGACACTGTGGGCGGCAGTCAGGTGGAGCGGTGGAGAGCACAGCCAGCCCAGTGAGACAGCCAGGCTGTGGGGAGAGGGGAGGCTTTGTGGAGACTGTACAGAGCGGACAGAGCCTAAGGGGTCATAGGATGCAAACTAAGAGGGAACCAGCAGCCTGGAGGATGAGGGAGATAGACACACATACATGTATGTATGTGTAAAACGTGCACACACTTGCAGAGAAGTATGTGGCTGAGTACTCCTGAGCCTCTCTGTACCCAAATCCCAAACTGCAGGGAAGGAGTCTGGCCTTCGAAAAAGGATGTGCTAATGAGCCCCAGTAAAGGCAGGGGGCCCAGATCCGCCTGTGGGGAAAGGAGGGAGCCACCCTCTCCTACCCATGTCGGGGTTGGTGGCTAATGTGGCGGCCCTGTCAGGGGCAGGCCTGGGCTGCTTCACAGAAGGTGGGACAGAAGCCACAGAGAGAGGGATGGGACCGTCAGAGCAGGCCAAGGAGGGTGGGATCAGGGAGATGTGAGTGAGCTCACCGTTCCCGGAGGTGAGCAAGCGGAGGCTGGCCCAAGCCTCACAGGGCTAGGTTGGAGGGAAACCAGCCTCAGGCGGGGGCCAGGGCTGCCTCACTGCTCAGGCCCCTTCCGATCTGAAGTCCTGTGAGGCCGTGGACCACGGGTGGTGGCAGGCAGGGATTTAGGATGGCTCTCTAGGAAAAGCAGCTCTGGGCCCAGGCGGCACGGAGGCCACGGGAAGGGCAGAGTGCCGTGTGCAGGTCCAGACAGGCAGCATCACCAGGAGGAAGTGTCCAGGGCCAGCGCCCCAGACACTGTGGGCTCTGGGAGCAGCTGATGTGCTCTGGGAACGAGACCAGGACTCTGGGACTTCGGGACAAGATGAAGACCAAGGCACCAAAGGAGCCTCAGGGAGACGGCTGGGGCTGTGTGGGAACTGGGCCCCGCTGTGCCGGGAAGAGAGGGACAGACCCAGGTGGGAAGGTGACCACAGCCCTCAGCACTAGGAAGGAGTGAGAATGGCTCCCTGCAGACCCCGGACGCCCACCAATTCAGCCGCCACTTTCTTCACACTTCTCTCTTCAAGGGGGTTACACTATGGACGAGTTGGGAAAGTAAGTCCACACTGTCTGGGGGAAGTGGGAAAGTCAATAAAATCGAGAAAGAAGCCACGTCTGGCGGAACTCCTTGGTGTTGGCTCTGGGGCGCCTGCACCGGGCAGGGTACCTGAGGAACGGCTGCGTCTCAGGGGAAAGCCACGTGGGAATACGATGAACACTGAGATCTGATAAAGGGCCAATGTTCTCAGAGGGAAAGCAGAGCGACACTGAAAATCCTAGTCCATCAGCTTCGTGGCAAACACCTGCAAAGGTAATGGACTCGGCGCTCAGTGTGTCCGCCTGCAGGCAGGGCGACAGTGCCAGAGCCAGGCCCGTGCCAGGCCCATGCCCTGCATCGGAGGGAGGGCCAGGCTGCCTGCGTGCACCCCAACAGGGAGAACCACCCCTTTATGTCTCACTGTGCAGCCAGCCAACGGGCAACATGAAAACGGAAAGGAAAGCAATGAAACAGAAGAGGTGTCTGTTCCACCAACGACGTCTCAGGGTGGGGTCTACTTCCAGAAAGTAAATAAATGCAGAGAAGACAGCGTGTCAGAGGCTGGGAGGAAAGCACGGGACCAGCGTGGGTGTTAGAGTGAGTCCACTCCCGGCCCAGCTCAGCAGGTGCCCGACTAGGGTTTTTTCCTAAACAAATTCTTTTATTTATTTTATTTTTAAAAATATATTTTATTGATTTTTCACAGAGAGGAAGAGAGAGGGATAGAGAGTTAGAAACATTGATGAGAGAGAATCATCGACCAGCTGCCTCTTGCACACCCCCTACTGGGGATATGCCTGCAACCAAGGTACATGCCCTTGACCAGAATCGAACCTGGGACCTTTCAGTCCGCAGACCGACGCTCTACCACTGAGCCAAACCGGTGCCGGCCTAAACAAATTCTTTACAGAAGCTCTGCATCTGTAAGACGGAAGAGTGGTCACCCTGGTTGGAGGGAGGGGGAGGGGGCTGGCGGGGGACCAACTGGGTGTGGGGAGGTGGACATTGCACCCACCATCCTCCCCCTGAGGAAACTGGGTCTCCTCAGAACCATCAGGAAGACCACTGGGCTGGATGTAGGATTGGACTGAACGTGGCATTGATTACGAACTCGGTAGAGTCAATAAGACAAAGGAGGCAGGAACGCTCTCCATGAATAACAGTGTACGAGGTGAAGAGAATTCATTAGACCAAAGCACTAACTCAAAATGGCCAGTGCAGGCGGGGAGAAGGAGGTCTGGGAAGTGGGGATATATTGTAGATGGGCTCCCCTCTTTTCCTCCTCCCCTAACGCCTCCCTGGCTTCCCCCCCGTCCCCCCGTCCCCCACACCATCAGAGGCACATGCGAATGGGGAACACAGGGCCAATGAAATCTGTGTAGGCCAGGTCTACCCACGCAGCTAGGAGGAATGAGGGAAAACTGTTCTGGTTCAAACACTGTGGACCACATGCAGCTTTACATACGAGCCTCAAACGACGACTTTGCCTCAGTTGACAAAGAGAAAAGGCCCTTTTGGGGTTCAGAAAAAAAGGTTAAAGAGGCCCCTTTAGCTACTGTGTACTTTTTAAAGAAGGTTGTTGTGACTCTTTATTGTGGTAAAATATAAACGACATAAAATGTGCCATGTCATTCATTTTAAGTGTACAATTCAGTGGCATTAATTACACGCACCATGTTAGACAATCATCACTGCCATCTCTTTCCAAAACCCCTTTGTTAACCTAAACAGAAACTGTACCACTAGCCAGGAACTCCTCATCCCTCTCCTCCTGGCCCCTGGTGTCCTGTACTCTACTTTCTTTTCTTTTTTAAAAAAAATATATTTTATTGATTTTGTACAAGAGGAAGGGAGAGAGATACAGAGTTAGAAACATCGATGAGAGTGAATCATCAACCAGCTGCCTCTTGCACACCCCCTACTGGGGATGTGCCCACAACCAAGGTACATGCCCTTTACCAGAATCGAACCCGGGACCCTACAGTCCTCAAGCCGACGCTCTATCCACTGAGCCAAACCAGTTTCGGCATCCCATACTCTACTTTCTGTCTCTATCCTCGTGCCTAGTCTAGGTATTCCATGTAAGTGGAATCATACAATGTATGTTCTTTTGTGTCTGGCTTCTCTCACTTAGCATGATGTCCTCAAGGTTCAGCCATGTTGTAGCATGTGTCAGAACGTCACCGCGTGCTATGGGCAGGCGGTGTTCCACACACACACCTAGTCCCCTTCGGCTTACCTGTCCATCTGTTGATGGACACGGGGCTGCCTCCACCTTCTCCTGTGAATATGTGGGTGCTCTTATAGCCACGAGATGAAGGAAGCAGGGCTCCCACTTGGGGACTAGCAGGCTGGGGGAGGGGGAGGCTTGACATGGAAAGAGAGGACCCAAGGCAGGAGGTGACTGAACGCAGAGCCTCGAGGGAGAACCGGGTGGAAGGACAGGGAAGTAGGATGAGCCTGTGATGCAGCAAAGCCACCGGGTTCCAACATGGCTCCACGTGCCAAGTGGCCAAGCCCGCCTGTGTCTCCCTGGGCACCCACTTCAGGGGCACCTCCCTGGCACCTGCTCAGGGGAGGGCTGCACCACGCCAAGGCCTTCCGGGTCTGACAGTCAGTGGACCAAGACCTTGGCTATCAGGTGATGAAACGTTAACACCTCATGAAGGAGCCTTCCGGAAGAAGGATGTGGTGCCCACTGAGGAGTGTGCAGGGGTGATGGCAGGCCTGGGCCCCCAACCCCAGCCCAGCCCAGGGGTGTGGCTCCGAGCGAGTGTCAGGAGGAGTAGAGAAGTGGCCAAGGCAGACGCTGGAGGGGCTTGTCTCCGCCTGGGCACAGAGGGCTCTCTGGGACTGACTGTCTCCCCCCCCCACCACCCCGCCACCCCCCTCACCCCCTGAGGAAATTCTGAGTCCACGGGGGAAGGAAAGGAGGGCCAGACCTGGTGGATAAGGCAAACGGAACCTGTACTTGCTACAATAGACCCCAACAGCCTGTGGCCAGGTCCCTCAGGGGACACAGCGGGCCAGTGGGCACAGCACGCCCCGGAGAAGGCGTGAGAGGAAAACACATCACAGGGTCTCGTGCCCACATTACCCGCCGTGTGGCCCTGACTGAGCCAAGAACCACTCTGGGCCTCCACCTCGTCCATACGAGGAGCAGCTCCAACGCCATCATCTCCTCGGTCCCCACCTGGGGCCAATTCCAGGGCACACGGGAACACTGACAGGGTGCTGAGAGCTCCTCCCGCACCCATTCTGTCAGCAAATGTTTGACTGCTGCTCCATGCCAGGCCCTGTGCGAGGTGCCCTTCCTCTGCCCGCCTGACAAGAGGGACGGACAAGAGAGGGGGCGAAACCGTCTTCTTGTTGCAAAGGCCTATGAAGGCTGACTGCACAGTCCACACAAACGAGGCCCCATGGACCAACCACCCCTCCGTCCGGCCTGCAGCCCGGGCCAGCCGAGAGCTGTGACCAGCATCACACACCCCGACCCCGAGTGGGGCCATCAGGCTGCTGGGAGGGTCCCGTCAGCGGGCTGGGACGGAAGGGACGACGGTGGTGACAGGGAAGGGGGTGCAGCCCAGGTGCCAGCCAGACTCACCTTCACGCAGGAGTAGATCACGGACACAAACACCACCAAGGTCAGCAGCACGAAGCAGGTCAGGTAGAAGCTCAGCATGAACACGGAGCTGAAGGAGAGAGGGGGAGATGGGGATGGAAGTGCCGTCACATCCAGGAGGTGGGCGACAGCTTCAGGCTGCATTGCCCTCCTCCCAGCTCCGGGGCTGGGGCCCTGAGAGCCCCCGGGAAGGAAGCAGAAGTTGCTAGGTTTCCCCTGCTGCCACCGCCCAGGCCTCTCTGGCCCCGGACTCGCTCAGAAGGGCTCACACAGCCTGTGAAACCGCCCAGGACCCTCCTCCGTGACGGTCTGGCTCCTGCCCTTCCCGCCCTCCGTGCCTTCCTGCGGGGCAGCAGCCACAGGGCACTGAGCGGAGAACCGGGAGAAACCTGCTCAGCGCTGTGCCTAAGTCTTAGCTATCCACACACTCTCTTCATTTACCTGGGAAGGACTCAGCTTAAAAATCACTTGGGCCCTGGCTGGTTTGGCTCAGTGGATAGAGTGTCAGCCTATGGAATAAAGGGTTCTGGGTTCGAGTCCAGTTAGGGTTTGTGCCTGGGTTGTCCCAGTGGGAGGCGTGCAAGAGGCAGCCAATCAACGATTCTCTCTCATCATTGATATTTCTATCTCTCTCCCTCTCCATTCCTCTCTCTGAAATAATATATATATATATATATATATATATATATATATATATATATATATATTTTTTTTTTTTTTTTTTTAAATCACTCGGTTATTCCCTCCCTCCAAGCAGCCACCCATGGTAACTCTGAAGGCCGAGACTGATTTGCATCTTTATAGAAATGCATCTGTCAAGCTGCTCAACCAGTCACTCTGAGAAACAGCAGTCATGTCCCCTCGGAGGGCAGAGCCTCTGAGTCCTGTCCCCTCCCTCTGCCAGCCCCCAAGGCCCGCTCCATCTGTGCTCTCTGATACCGTGCCAGTTCAACGAAAACCGAGGCAGAGCGCAGGTGACCTTAACGTCCACCACAGACCAGAATCCTCAGACAAAAGAGCTGCAAGCGACCTCCCATCTAGAACCTTCCAGCTGAGGAGAGGCACACTCCCATCACAGGAGGCCACAGGAATCCCTTCTCTTTCCGGGGGCGCCAGGCGTGTTAGCAGGCTGAAGGCCAGTGATGGGCCTGAGGAGGCCGGGAGGCGTTCAAGTGGGATCTCTGTGCCAGGCTCTTCCAGAAGCCAGCACTTGGCTGCCCTAAACAGCCCGAACAAGGGGAGAGAACTCTCTTCCAAGGGAAAGACTTTTAAAGTAGCCTTTAGCTTCCACAGAGAGAGGGCGCTAGAGAATGACCTCTGTGGATGCCTTAGCAACCTGGCCCTGAGGCCTGCGGAGGGACCCAGCATTTGGAGGGAGGCAGGCAGGGTGTGGGGATAACAGCCCCCAAGCCGAGCTGCAGAAAAAAGAAACGTGGCAGGACTGTGTAGTCAAACTAAGGGGGCTTTTATTTGCAATGGGACAGAAAGTCTGGGTTGCTTATCTATACCTGTAGCTCCCTTCAGTTCAGCAAAATGGGGTCCTATGCCCAGAGAACCCACAGCCCCAGCCGCTCTGCACACCTCCGAGCAGGGCCTCCAGGTGGCGCTGCTGCCAGGGTCTGCGGAATCCTGGCAGAGCCACAGCTGGTAAAACCTGAGAGCAGGCTCCTCTGAACATAGTGCCATTAGAAATAAAAGCATGAGACACGTGGGCATCACATACCCCCTGACATGAGGCACTGAGGGCATCGCTCTGTGGGTTCTTGTCTAAAAGCATAGCCTCAATGTGATAATGAGAAAACATCAGGCAAACCCAACGGGACAGTCTAAACATTCCCTGGCCAGTGCTCATCGAAAGGGCCACGCCGTGAGGGACACGAAAAGGCGGAGACAGTCTCACAGGTTGGGGGGGGAGGTGGGGGGACTGAGCAGATACAGCTGACTGCAATGTGGTGTCCTGGACTGGCTCCGGGCCTCAAAAAGGCAATCCGAGGGCACACTGGTGAAATTAGAATGTGGTCTGCAGATCAGTTAAGAGTGTTATTCTAGTGTTCATTCCTGGGTTGGACTATCCTACTTAGATTATGTGAGCTGTCGACATTAGGGAAACGGGATGAAGGACGTAAGGAAACACTCCGTGATATTTTTGTGACTTTTCTGAGTCTACAATTATTTCGAAATGAAAACCAGAAGGCGTTCGGATGTGGGGACTCTTCCAGATTACGATGGTCTTCTGAGACATAACCTAAGGCAACCAGTGGGTCATGAGTGGATCCTGGCTGTGACTAAACTAACTGTGGAAGACATTTTGGAAATTTGAACCCGAACACAGTATTAGACGATGGTAGAGACATGGTGTTGATTTTGTTTGGTGTATAAGGCAATGTGGTTAAGAAGGAAAATGCCCTTAAAATAGGTTTTATTGAGGTTTTCAGGGACAAAATGTCCTTGTGCTTAAAATTTATTTTAAAACAAAAACAAAAACAGAAAAGCCCTCGCTGGTGTGGCTCAGTCGGTTGAGCACGGTCCCATGCAGGGAAAGGTTGCCAATTTGATTCCCAGTCATAGCGCCTACCCAGGTTGCAAGCTCGATTCTTGGTTTTGTGTGTGTGCGGAAAGCAGCCGATCTCTCTCTCTCTCTCTCTCTCTCTCTCTCTCTCTCTCTCTCTCTCTTCCTCCTTCCATCCTCTCTTTCTTTCTCTCTCCTTCCCTCCTTCTACCTTTCTCACTCTCTAAAGCAATTAAAATATATATTTTTTAAAAATAAAAAGTTACAGAGAAATGTAAAATATTAACAAGTATTATATCTAGGAAATGGGTAATAATTCTATTACTTACTTTACCTTTCTGCATGTTTGAAATATTACATAATAAAAAGTTTAAAATGTGGGGCAGTTATTTTCTTACCGAGGCACGACCCTCCTGGGAATGACTAACACATATTTCTAAAATCCCACTGCCCACGCAGAGCGGGCCCCTAGGAAGCCACAGGCCTCTAGCGACACAGCCAGTCCTCACAGAGTTCAGGAGCATGTCTCTGAGAAAGCTTTCAGAACCCAAAGTCCATCCTTCAAATTACCCAGAGTAGCAAAACTATTTGAAACATGTGTTGCTTTTTTTTTTTTTTTTTTTTTTTTGCAAGAACCAAAGGTCACGTGGAAAGGAGGCTGGTGGATCAGCGGCAGGGTGGCATGGAGACCCCATACGGCAGGGCAGTGCCCAGAGAGGTTCCCACCCTCCAATGAGCGCGTGGCCTCCCTGTCACAGAGGAGTCAGGCTCCCGGCTTCCTGGTCCCATCGAGCACATGTTTGGAACCTTCTCTCCCTGATGAGCGAGTTCAGCCCAGATTCCTGCCTCTGTCCCACTACAGGACCTCCCCTCAGATGCCTGGAGACCCTGTAGCCGGAGGAGGGACCCAAGGAGGACGGGTACTCACTGGGGCACGATGGTGATCTGGACGAAGCAGATGAAGAGGAAGACGAGCGAGGCACACACCACGTAGGCACCGAACCGGTCGTCCACCTGCTTGGAGTACTGAGAGGACACGGCAGAGTGAGGGCCAGAGGCACCAGCCCTGTCTGCCCCAGCCGCGCTCCATCCCCGACACACAGGGAGCCGCTCCAGGACGTGGGAGACCCGAGGGCCGGTGCGAGCCTGAGCTCCTGGGAAACCAGCCCAGATCACCCTAAGGCGATGCTTGTGGGGAGAGGAGTTGAACTGTGTCAAACCAGAAACTCTCCACAGACCAGATCACCGAGAGAGTGATGTGTAATGATCACGGCTAAAATTACCGAGCACCACCTGCATCAGGGGTCGACAAACTGCAGCTTGCAAGCCACATGCGGCTCTTTGGCCCCTTGAGTGTGGCTCTTCTAACAAAATACCACGGCCTGGGCGAGTCTGTTTTTGAAGAAGTGGAGTTAGAAGAAGTTTAAGTTTAAAAAGTTTGGCTCTCAAAATAAATTTCAATTGTTGTGCTGTTGATATTTGGTTGTTGACTAATGAGTTTGCCGACCCCTGGCCTACATGCTAGGACAAGCATCATCGCGCACCTGGCAAGCACACTAGGAAGTAGGCACAGGACTACTGTTTGTGCTTCCGAGTTGAGTAAGATGGGGCTCAGTGAGGTCACAGGGCTTGTCCAAAATCACACAGATCATCCCCAGGGTCCTGACTCCCAGCCTCAGCTCTCCCCCCACCCCCAGCACACACACACACACACACACACACACACACCAACCAGCCGTCCGAGCAGAGGCTGGGCTGGCACGGAGTCCCCAGAGAAGGTGATCCATGTCCGTCCATAAATGCTAGCGGGCAGACTATGTACGCTCCTACCACTTTCCCTCCTACTTAGGGTTGCTTTACTCCATGACGTCATGCGTTCTCACGAGCTCATTGTAATGGAACATCAGAAAGAGGCTGTGACATGGAGCAAAGACCCCGAGCCCAGGACTGGTTCTGGCTCCATCACTACCTCACGCGTTGGCCCAGGGCATACTAGCAGGCGTCTTCAAACTACGGCCCGCGGGCCACATGCGGCCCGCAGAGGAGTCTGATCCGGCCCGCCAGGTTTTTTGGGCAGTGAGCGCAGCCGAGGTGTTACAGTAGGAATTAGTAGTTCATATAGTCCGGCCCTCCAGCTCTCTGAGGGACCGTGATCTGGCCCCCACTTTAAAAAGTTTGAGGACCCCTGTTAGTGCAACTACTTGAGTTTTAGCTCTCCGGGTCATGATTTAAGGAGGCTGACTGCCCCTTCCAAGGTTAATACTTTGAGGTTCAGTGTAGCTAGGTGGTCCATGGGCAATGATAATGATAATCACACACAAAAAAACTAATACAAATAGGCTAACATTCGTTGAACATATACAATGTGGCAGGTACTGTTGTATGTGTTTTAAATATATGGACTTATTTAACCCTCAGTAAGACCCTTTGAGGTAAGTATGCTAAATGTCTCCATTTCTGGCTAAGGAAATGAGGCACAAGGAGGTTAAGATTTATTATTCCTTCCAAACAAGGAGGTCTCCCTAAAATACCCAGCTGCTGGGGTATTTTCCCCAGCATCAGAGCTAGGGAAGTGGAGGGGAGAAGGGCTTTTCCAACAGTGATGGGACGGAGGGAGCCAGCCGGTCATTGCCTTGTCTCTCCCCGCTTCTCCCCTCTGTAGGCTCTGGTTCTGCATGGAGCCTCCTCCCACCCAGGCTGCCTACCTTCTTCTCTAAGTCAGGCTCCCTGAAGGTCAGGAGGAACTTGCGAACATGCTCAGACCGCAGCCTGTCAATGCTCCTGGCGTCGATGGCACGGCCCAGAAACTCGTCCACTTCATCCTCGGGGTTTGCACTTTCCTGGGCGTTCCTGGGAAGCAAGAAGGGCAGACACCAGGCAGGCTGACCACCAGGGGGCGCTGCTAACTGGTGGCTCTGCCCGTGCTCAGGGATCCAGGAGAGAGACCCAGATCAGCCCTAATATAATGTGGGGAAGATGAGACTCGGGCCAGGACACCCTCCTGACACCTGCACACATGGGTAGAAAACTGCCTAAGTCTCAGATCCGCTGGTTGGGGGCCTCACCAACAACAGGCTTCTCTGACTCTATTGATGTATTAGTTCATTATCATAAGATTAGAGGCCCAGTGCACAAAATTCATGCATGGGGGGGGGAGGCCAGTCCCTAGGCCTGGTCAGTGATCAGAACCTTCTCTGCCTCCACACCTCCCTACCTCCTCCTTCCCTCAATGCCCACAGGCCGCCACCCACCCCTGGCTCCCCATCCCGGCCCAGGGGCCTGGCCCCAATCAGGCAATTGAGGTCTGCAGGCCGGGGGCAGCTTCTGCCGCTTAGGGGTGAGTGCACGTCATAGCGACCAGTTGTCCGGTCGTTGTGGTCATTCCATTGTAACGGTCGCTTAGGCTTTTATATATATAGACTAGAGGCCCAGTGTATAAAATTCATGCACTTGGGGGGTGTCCCTCAGCCCAGCCTGCATCCTTTCCAATCTGGGACCCCTCGGGGGATGTCTGACTCCTGGTTTAGGCCCAATCCCTGTGGGCCTAAACCGGCAGTTGGACATCCCTCTCACAATCTGGGACTGCTGGCTTTCCAACTGCTCCCCTGCCTGACTCCCTGTCTGATTGTCCTTTACGGCTTCGACCTGACAGCCTGATTACCCCCTAACCCAGGGGTCTTCAAACTTCTCTCATTATGAGAATCACCTGGTGGAGTTGTTAAAACACAGATTCCCGGATCCCAACTATAAGAAGTGCTATCAGGAATCTGTGTTTTAACACCTCCACCAGGTGATTCTCATAATGAGAGAAGTTTGAAGACCCCTGCCCTAACCACTCCCCCGCCAGCCTGATCAACATCTAATTGCCCTCTCCTGAAGGCCTGGTCCCCCCAACTGCCCTCCCTCCCCTGCAGGCCTGATCGCCCACAATTTCCCTTCCCGGCTGGCCATCTTGTGCTGGCCATTTTGTGACCACATGGGGGCGGCCATCTTGTGTGAGGGTATGATGGTCAATTTGCATATCACCTCTTTATTATATAGAATGATTTACTATGGAAGGTTTAATTGTTTTCTCCCCACAGGTAGGTCTCTGCTCTGTCTTTTCTGGCTGTACCATCATCCAAAAATGAAAGCTGAAATCAAGAGGTGAGACTTCTGCCCAGGGACTGTGGCCACCTGTGCTCTAACCTGGCTCAGGCACTCTCTGGGAAGGTTGCATGATCTTTGGGTGCTGAACTAAAATGACATGGAATTTCTGACAGCCCCTGAGAACTGGGAAGTGACATTCCCTCAGGGCACTGGGATGTGGCCAGGCACTGTGTGTGACCACTGTGACAGGCCTGCACTTTTCTGAGAGCTGCACACACACCTGTGTGTGTGTGTGTGCATGCATGCACATGCATGTGCAGAGTGTGCACACATGTAGTTTTGTGTGTGCACACGTGTGTGCATGGAGTGGAGTCTGAATATGGGCAATGCTAGGGCCCAGCATCTCTGCTGGATGGCCCAGGCTGGCTATCTCTTATCCGCTGTGGGCTCCGGACACTCAGCCAAGACCGCGTGTGGGCTCCTTCCCCATGGAGCATGGGGAAACATAGCTATGAGGCAGATCTGAAGGTATGCCCCAGGAATCATGAAGAGCATGTCACTCACTTGTCCTTGGGGTCTTCGAAGCCCTAAAAGAGAGGGACAGAGAAAGGAGAGGAGTGTGAGAACAGAGAGGACTGGATCCAGAGATGGGCTGTGGGAAGGGGCAGCCCATTTCTCTCTGCAGTTCTCCAAGGAGCTTGAACATACGAGGTAATTCAGCTTTTATCGTGCATTTTGTCACTCAGCAGACCTTTCTTCTATCCTTCCTTCCATCCTCCCTTCTATCCTTCCTTCCATCCTCCCTCCATCCTTCCTTCCATCTTCCCTCCATCCTCCTTTTCATCCTTCCTCCATCCTCCCTTCCATCCTTCCTCCATCCTCCCTTCCATCCTCCCTTCCATCCTTCCATTCCTCCTTCCATCCTTCCTCCATCTTCCCTTCCATCCTCCCTCCATCCTCCCTTCCATCCTTCCATTCCCCCTTCCATCCTTCCTCCATCCCCGCTTCCATCCTTCCTCCATCCCCCCTTCCATCCTTCCTCCATCCTCCCTCCTATCCTTCCTCCATCCTCCCTTCCATCCTTCCTCCATCCCCCCTTCCATCTTTCCTCCATCCTTCCTCTATCCCCCCTTCTATCCTTCCATCCTTCCTCCATTCTCCCTTCCATCCTTCCTCCATTCTTCCTCCCATCCTTCCTCCATCCTCCCTCCCATCCTTCCTCCATCCTCCCTCCCATCCTTCCTCCATCCTCCCTCCCATCCTTCCTCCATCCTCCCTCCCATCCTTCCTCCATCCTCCCTCCCATCCTTCCTCCATCCTCCCTTCCATCCTTCCTCCATCCTCTCTTCCATCCTTCCTCCAGTCTGGGGCGTGGCCGGAGTTGTGTCACTCTGTGAGCATGCCCCCTGGTGCAGGCCCAGGCCGGACACCCCCAGGATCCCGGGGAGCACAGGTGAGCAGGCAGTGGAGCTGGACTGCAGCTCCCTAGGGAACAGGGAGAGACACTGGGGTGCTGAATTCCACCCCAGGAGCCGGCAAGGATTTTACCCTGGGATGGAGAACAACCCCACTGTTTTAGGCCTACAGCTCAAAAATACACCTGATTTCTGTAACAATTTAAACACAATATGCTAATTAGACACGACATCCTTCCGGATGACCTTCCCGATGAAGTGGAAGTGGGCGGGACTGAGTCCCTTGCACAAATTTTGTGCAGCGGGCCTCATGTTTTTAATAAACCCGTTTCTGACTGCCTAGTGCTCCTTTGGCCTGGGTTCCAGTACTCTAACCCACTTACTAGTTCTAGGACCACATAGGGGCAGCTATCTTGATCTTGTGTGTTAGAGTGATGGTCAATCTGCATATTACCTTTTTTTTTTTTTGATAGGATAGAGGCCTGGTACACAGATGGGGGCCGGCTTGTTTGCCCTGAAGGGTGTCCTGGATCAGGGTGGGGTTCCCTTGGGGCATGAGGTGGCCTGGGCGAGGGGCCTGTGGTGGTTTGTAGGCCAGCCACACCCCTGGCGACCCAAGCAGAGGCCCTGGTATCTGGAATTTATTTTCCTTCTACAATTGAAACTTTGTAGCCTTGAGTGAAGGCCTGGGCCTAAAGCTTGGCTTCCTCCATTGCCAAGGAAACTCAAGCCTTTCTCCTGTTCTCTGTGGCCGCAGCCATCTTGGTTAGGTTAATTTGCATACTCACTCTGATTGGCTGGTGGTTGTGACTTGTGGGTGTAGCAGAGTGGTGGTTAATTTGCATATTACTCTTTTATTAGAAAGGGTAACTGGGGACTTTCAACACTCGTGCCTACACATGAACCAGCAGAGCCATTCACTGTGTCTTAAATGCACGATAAAAGCTGGAACAGGATTGAAAGAAATAAACCTCTGGCTAAAAGTTAGTCCCTTTCTAACTGTGCTCAGTCACTGCTTAACCTAATGTCCACCCTGACCCCCACACCATGCCACCTTTATGGGAAGTCAGGGCCAAGCTCTCCTTTGCCAATAGTGTGCCTGATAAGGGCCGGGACCTGTCCCATCCCCAGCCCAAACTCTCTGCCTGGGTTTGTGGGGTGCCAGCCTCAGGGCGACTCTGCCCAGCCAGGATGGGGGAGCAAACAGCACCCTAAAGGAGCCTTTCCTGCCGCCAGCCTCCCCTGGGACTGGCCTTTCCCCACTTACAGCCCTTCTGCTACTTCTCCCAAGTTCCCAGTCCTAACAATGATTAATGTGTCTGCCAACCTGCGCTGAGGCTCTGAAATAACTAGATTCCACTTATACCAAAGATCAATAAAGAAAAAAGAAACTTTCCCCAGGTTTTAAAAAGAGAAAGTACCATCAAGCATTTTCCTGCCTGCTAGTGCCTCCTCTTCACCCCTTTCCTCCCCATCTCTCTCCTCCCCATCTCTCTCCTCCCCACTCCACATCTTTCTTCCCCCCACCCACCATCCTGTGTCCTCTCCACCCCCGATCCTCTCCACCCCCGATCCTCTCTCCATTGTCTCCAACTCTCCTCTTCCCTCACTCACCTCTCTCTTCCTGCCCCCCCCCTCTTTTCTCCCTGCTCTCCATCTCCCCCTTTCCTCTCACAACACCACTCTTGCCCATCCTTATGCAGAGTCTGCAGGAGATTATTGAAGGGCTGGAGTGATAATAGGGAGGGCCCTTGAGCGAGAAGGGGTGAAGGTGGGGGTGGCCTGAGCCCTGGGCAGCACTGACAGGTCTGTGAACGTCTGCTCCCTGGTACTTGGTGTCCTGTGGGTTAATTCTTTACCATTCAAAGGAAAAGGGTCCCAGTCATGTGGCTCAGTTGATTGAAGCGTTGTCCCGAACACCAAGAGGTTGTGGGTTTGATTCTCAGTCAGAACACATACCTAGGCTGCAGGTTCGAGCCCCAGGAGGCCACCCATGGATATCTCACTCTCATCTCTCTTTCTCCCTCCCTCCCTTCCTCCCCTCCCCCTCTCCTCTTCCTCTCCCTCTAAAATAATCAATAAAAATATCCTTGGGTGAGGACTAAAAAATAATTATTTTTAAAAAGTGAAATAGAGGTCTTGACCCAATTCATTTTCCCCCTGTACACTTACCTCAAACCTTTGTCATCTGCTACCTACTAGCTAGGGAGGAGAGTGACCGTGTCCCCTCCCTCTGGTCCCAGGCTCTGCCTGTGAATTCCTATGGGGTCTGTAACCCCCCCCCACCCCCTGCACTGAAACCTAGTCTGGCCCACAGACAGAGCTGGGGTCCTAGTGCGCAGGCCCCAGGTACATGGCCACACTGGGATCCCTGCGCCCTCGCTCCTCCCCCAGCCCTGCCTCAGGGCGGCTGGCTCTGCCTAGAAGCCAGGCTGCCCTTGAGCTCTGGGACAAAAGGAAAGGAAAGAAACACAGCTGCTGCTGTAACCTGACTTTTGTCACCCTCTTGTCTTCTTTCCACCTTCAGAATTCCTTTCTATCCTCACTGACTGAACCTGGACAACACCTCCTGCACTAGCTCTTTCCTGGTGTGTGCAGGGACGCTGGGGGGTGTCTGACCCCCAAGGCAGGCAGGGTCCCTTGCGATGGGGGTACCCCCTATACTGGCCTCCACTCGTGCAGCCAGCCTGCACCCCACCAGCCGGCTGCAGGGACTGGGGTGTTTCTCTGCACAGTGTGACCATCACCTGGCACTTGCCAACAAGCACAGATGGTTTCTGAGCATCTGAGTCAAAGGGTGGGGTTCAGCGGCCTGGGAAATGCAGCGGGTGCTGGAGGGACATCTGAAGCCCCCCAACTCTCCAGGGGCTCACCCTCAGCCTAGCCAGCTGGGTCTGCTTCCAGCCCATGCCAGTAAGCTCTGCTGAAAGGAAGGAGGAGGGGGCGTTGGTAAGTGTGGGCTTACAAAGCCCCAAAGCTCAACCCAGCTTGCCAAGAGATGGCAGGGCTCATGGAGGGAGCCCGGGGCAAGAAGGCAGGCTTTCTGGCTCCTCGTCCAAAGTCGGGCAAGTGCTGGAAGCCAATTCCAGCATGTCATAATTGCAAGAGTTTCATCGAAAGGTTGATGGAACTTGGGGACTCAACAAGGGCTGAGTCACATATGTTATTGCCTGCTGGAATGGCTGAAAGCATTTCCCCAAACCTGAAAAGAATGCATTAAATTAATTGTTTGCTGCCAGACAGCTCAGGGCATCTTAACCTACATGTCATTGCCTCCTACTGGCCAAACACATGAACAGCCATAGACTATTCCCCATTCTGACAATACTTCTGCAGGAAACCCTACCCTTTGAAGTATATATTTCCACCTTGCCTTAGGACAATTTGTGTTAATAAAAAGCAAAGGGTCCTGAGACAAGGAGAACTTTAGCTCCTTTAACTAAAGCTCCTCTGACCCCCAATGCCTTTCAAAATGATCTTTCGTCTCTGGACTCTTTACTTCAGTTACACACGGCCTTTCTCCAGATTGCTGAGCCCTTCTTAATGCTGGAACAAGAACCCCAGCATTAATAGCATCCTGAATTGGGGTGTCCCGAACTGGGGCTTCCTGAACCCTTGCAGCACCAACAGGTGAGTCCATGTCCAGGTGTTCCTTCTGTGGCTCTCCAGGGGCCGGGCCCAGCCCCACCCACAGGGGGCCCTCCCTGGAGGGTGCTGCCAGCACACTGCCCTGCCAGTCACTCACCATCCGCTTCATCTCCTTGGACACCTGGTTGCTGCCCAGGTGGTTGTAGAAGGGGCGCTCGGCTCCCCAGTGTGGTGGGTTGTGCCCGATGGAGTTGGTTCTCTGGCGATTCATCTTGGCGATCATGGCCTTCTCTTCTTTCTGGGAGAGCAACACAGATGCATCAGCCTGTGGGCAGGGCCTGGAGTTTCTCACCCCCCCCCCAGGTGCCTAACCAGATGCCCAGGGGTAAGGCAGCTGCCCCTCTTTTCTCGGCACAGCCTGGAGCCCAGAAGCCTGCCAAGATCCTAGCGCTCACCCAACGAAGTATCCTGATCCCCCCACGCCCCACAGCTGGCCCCGGCTGGCCCAGGAGGACAGTGAGGTGTCTGTGAGGAAGCAATCAGGCCTGTGACATCTGTCACCTGGAATTCTCAGAGGCGGGCCGAGCGGGGGTGACAGAGGGAGAGGAAACCTGGGATTCCAATCACCGCTCAACTTATCCAAAACAGGCTTTGTCCTAGCAGAGCGGGAGGTGGGACAGAACCTGCTGCCCAGAAAGCAGCTTCCCAAGAGGAGGTTTGGGCCATTAGAATATGAGATTCAAGGACTGACGTACATTGTACAAATACACAAACAGGGCCTCAGCCAGACATGTGCCAACCACATCACTTCTGTCTGTATGCCCAGTCATCTGTCCAAACAGGCTCCGCTGGAGGTCTGGAGACACCCCCCCTTGAGCCTGAGAAGGTGAGTGCCGAATAGGGGTGAGGAGTGACGGGGGCAGACTGTTCCAGTTGCCACTGCTGGGGGTGGGGCTATCACTGTCTGCCTGTCTGTCTGTCTCCATTTCATCCTTTCTGGACCACCTGTCAAGCGGGAAGAGCCGAGACCCAGAGCGCCCAGGGCAGAGGCAGGAAGGTGGGGCTCCCGGAGGCCTGGGGGCGGGCAGGGGGGGATGTGGGAGGAGGCATGCAAGGGCTCAGCTCATTTATACTCAGCCAAACAAGGAGCACATGTTTAAAAAGATGTCAACTTAGGCCGAAGCTGGTTTGGCTCAGTGGTAGAGCGTCCGTCTGCGGACTGAAAGGTCCCGGGTTCAATTCCGGTCAAGGGCATGTACCTTGGTTGCGGGCACATCCCCGGTGGGGGGTGTGCAGGAGGCAGCTGGTCAATGTTTCTCTCTCATCGACGTTTCTTGCTCTCTATCTCTTTCCCTTTCTCTCTGTTAAAAATCAATAAAATATATTTTTTAAAAAAAAGGTGTCAACTTAGCCCAAATGTGTCAACTCTCTCCAAAGTGCCCTCCACCCCCCACCCTCTCATCATAGCTCCCTCTGAGGCCCCCGCAGCCAGATCCGGGTTGTGGCCGGGTGCTGCCGAGGCAGGACAGGTGCCGCTGACGTCCCTCTCAGGGGCGGGGTGGTGGTGTTATGGGGGGGCTGCCCCAAAGAGCCCTGCCTTCCTTGAAAACCAACTTTTGCTCTTGTCCAAGCCTTTCCCTGAGTCTGACTTCCTGGGAAGGAAACGGAAGCTTTCTCCACCACAGCGCTCTGACCAACAGATAAATTCAACGGAAAGATTCCCCAGGAAAAGGCATCTCAGTCTTGGGAGGAAAAAGAAATGTTCTCGCCACTCACTTTAAAAATTAAGGACCTGGAACATGACACTATTAAAAATAGAACCCTGAAGTCTGCTGATAATTCAGTTTTATATTTTGGTAAGTGTGGGCTGAGACAAAAGGAGGAAGAAGAAAGAGACTAGAAAGTGAAAGGGGAAAAGAAAAAGGTTCAAGAACCAAAGATTCACAATTTCCTGAGAAGGAGGGAGAGGGGAGAGGAGAGGGGAGAGAGGGAGAGAGGGAGAGAGGGAGAGAGGAGAGAGAGGAGAGAGGAGAGAGGGAGAGAGGGAGAGAGGGAGAGAGGAGAGAGAAGAGAGGAGAGAGGAGAGAGGAGAGAGGAGAAAGGAGAAAGAGAGAGAGGAAAGAAAGAGGGGAGAGGAAGGAGAGGAGAGGGGAAAGAGAGAGAGAGAGAGAGAGAGAGAGAGAGAGAGAGAAGAGGAGAGGAGAGGAGAGGAGAGAGGAGAGAGAGAGGAGAGAGGAAGAAGGAGGAAGAGAGAGGGAGAGAGGAGAGAGGAGATGAGGAGAGGGAGAGAGGCGCGAGGGAGAGAGGGAGAGAGGGAGAGAGGGAGAGGAGAGAGGAGAGAGGAGGAGAGGGAGAGAGGGAGGAGGGGATGAGACGGCGAGGCGAGAGGGAGAGAGGGAGAGGAGAGAGGTGAGAGGAGGAGAGAGGGCGAAGCGAGGAGAGAGGGGAGAGAGGAGAGAGGAGAGAGGCGAGAGGAGAGAGGAGATGAGGAGAGAGGCGAGACGGAGAGAGTAGAGCGAGAGAGGAGAGAGGAAGAGAGGAGAGAGGATGAGAGGAGAGAGGAGAGAGGAGAGAGGAGAGAGGAGAGAGGGAGAGAGCAAACAAAAGTCCGCTTTGTCCCAGCCATGGCGGAGAAGTGAGGCGACCATATGGGAGACACAGACCTCCTGGAGGCTGCATTCCCAGCTCATGCCCTTCCGAAGCCTTGTTGCTAGCTGAGCTGAGCCTGAGCGATTTTGCAGCAGAAGCAACTGAACACATTCCCTCTCTGCAGGGCTCCTGTGACTCTGATGTCCTTCCAGGGACACAGGAGCCATGGCTGTGTGCAGAATTCATGACTTGGCTCAAGGAACGAGTAAGAAGAGAAGGCGGAAGCAGGCCAAGGAAAGTCCCTCCCCAGGGAACGGAGCCCCTGAGCCTCCCTGTCCCCAGGCCCCCCCCCAACCCCCCGCGCCAGCAGCCCCGAGCCCCGCCCGGACCCGCTTCTGGGTGCAGCGCAGGATGAGGAAGGTCTCGATGCTGTGCTCCTTGAGGTAGGCGTTGCGCTCGCCCCCACAGCCCGGCTCCACCTCGTAGTCCCCGTTCAGGTAGCTGAGCGTGGCCTTGGTGATGTGGATGCGTCTGCAGGTGCAGGGGAAGCGGGACAGGAGGGAGAGAACGCGAATTCAGAGCTCTAGAACCCAGGTGCCAAGGCTCAATCCCGGTTTAAAGGGTGGCTCCAGAGCCAACAACCCCCACTCGATCCCCACTCGACGTCCTGGACCCCTCCAAGGTCATCCAATGGCTCAGGCAGGGTCTGTCCCAGCTCGCGACCCCACAACTGCACCGCCTCACGTCTATGGTTCACTGTTACAACACCACCACACGGGTTTACGCTGCCAGGAACACAGCCTGCAGCCTCAAACTTTGCAAAAACCTGGTCAGGAAGAGCCAGCAGGGGCTCCTACTGCGTCCAAACCCCCACCTGGCACGAATGCCCTTCCTAACACAGGCGTTTCCCATCGGTCCCTCAAAAGCCACCTGCTCTGCTTCCATTCCTTGCACATACCACGTTTTCCAAACCTGTGTCTGTCCTCACCCCACCCCTCAGCCCGACACTCTCCCCTCCCCACCTTCCTCCTCTGTCCAAACCCTGCCCATCGTCCTGGCCAGCTCATGCCACCTCCTTTCTGCCCTGAGCTCCCTAGAATCTATCGTTGGGGCCTCCCTCCTCCAGAGCTGTGCCCTACCTCCTGCATCTCACGGGCCCACCGCGTTCGGTGCAAACAGCTTCTGGGAGGAGACTCGGGGAAGCAGACCCGATGCTCCCTACCACCTGCCCTGGTGTCGTGGAAGTAAAGTGCCACGTCGAATAGCTTCTCCTTGAACTCTGCCACCCCCAGAGTTTCAAGCGACTCCACCCTGCCCACTCCAGCCCTGCCCCTCAGGACAGTGGCCCCGGGTGAGACTGGGTGGGAGGCTACGTTGGGGCCCCACCCACAGCCCTCACTCACCCAGCCTTGCCTCCAGCCTCCATGTGGTTGGCCAGCGTGACGTCGTTAGACCAGACGTCGAACTGCCACTTCCTGAGACCAAGGACACCGCAGTGTACTCGCCCGCTGTGAATTCCCACGCGCATGTTCACGTTCACCCCCGTCACCTCCCGGACCAACCTGGGGAGGGAGCAGGGGTGAGGCTGGGAGAGGGTCACGCACGGGCCAGGCACACAGAGTGGGGGTGAGGCTGGGAGGCAGGAGGTCAGGGATGTGTGTCAGAAGGTGCAGGGGTCCAGAGTCATTTCTCTCTGAGCCAGTCCGAACCCTCCAACCTGCAGGGCGGGGCTGGGCGCTGGAGCTCAGGAGCTGTGAACTGTGAGGTGCTGATCCCGGCTTGGCCACAAGGTGGCGTGACACCTCACACTAAAACCCAGGCGCCACTGCTTCCCCCAGACTAGGGGGCCTGGAGCCATTGCTACCCTCAGTCCATGACATTGTATTTTGAAAATGCAAATGAGCATTAGTGCCAACTTTGGCCAGACGGGGAAGTTAAGCCAATACACACCCCATTTACATAATGCTCTTGGCTTTATCCACATCGCTGGGCAATAGAGAGAGGTGGGTAACAGAGGACATGTGTCTGCTCAGGAAGAAGGGGAGCCTAGGCAGAGGCAAGGACGAGGTGTCCCCAATGTGCTAAAAGACAGCTCCAGTCCCTGCTACCCAGGGGTTCCCCAAGAGACAGGTGGCCATCCGGGGAGCAGGCCAGACAGTGCATCCTCTGTGGGAAAGGGAGTAGGACAGAAGCTATCCATCTCCAGCTCTGTGTCCGGGCCCAGGGCCAGTGGAGGTGGGCTCAGGCATTCTGGGGTCAAGTACCCAGGATGCACTTTTTAGGGACCCGGACCGTCCCAGCCACCCTGGGGGTGAGCCCCCTCAGCCAGCTGTGGGCCAGCAGTCTGACGTGGCGAGCTGACCATGAGGGCTCCAGCCCACCCCGCCAGGGACAGGCTGACACCCACGGCGGGGAAGATGTATGTCACCCGTCATTTCTCTTGTCCTGGGACCACATCTGCAGGTAGTTTACTGGAGCCATTCCTTCCATCTGGCCTCCGGCCACGTGCTTGAGTGGGTGCTATCTCATTCTGCCTTTCCGGCTTACCCCCAGGGCCACCTCCTCCACGCAGCATCTCTGGGTCTTTTCAGTGTGATCAATGGCTGCCCCCTTCACGCCCCCCAGCACAGTGCACCTCTCTTCCCTGGTGGCATGCCCGGGCTCAGGGCGTGGAGCCCCGGCCTCTCTCCCTCCACAGGCTCCACGCTTCCGGGTGAGGGATCCACCGGTGAGCCCGGGCCCACAGGGGCACTCAGCAAGCACTGCCGAATGGAACGGAGTCGGACTTCCTGGGCCCAGCCACTTCCTGGCCAGCTACTCCGACCTCCGACCTTGCCCCCTGTGGCTTCCCCTCTGCCCCCGCCCAGGCTACCTCTGACGTTCAAAGTTACTGAACCTGGATGCGATCTCTGACCTGCTCCCCTGGATGGCTTGTAAGCTTGGCTTGTTCAGGATTACTAACGACCAGAGGCGCCTTTGATAGCCAATGATGACCAAAAATGGGCCCAAATCCTTTTTGCTATACTCCCAGGATGGATGGATTTTCTTAAGTGGGAACACCTGTGTTTGACCCTCCCTGCCTAGGAAGATTACCCTTGGCGGGGTATTTACCCGTGAGCCCAACCTTTCTCGTCTGGGTAGAAATGGTGATGGCGGTGGGAGGGGGGGAGGTGATCCTACACCGCCTGGGTGACGGTGAGGACATGAGAGAGCACTGCAGGGCAAGGCCCGCACACGGCATCACTGCCGGCTTGCCCTCCGCTCCTGCAGAGAACCCGGCTTCTGCAAGGCCCTCCCCTCCTGCAGGACACGCTCTCCCGGGAGAAGCTTCCTGGCTGCTGTGGGTAAAGGGGGCCCAGGCTGAGGCTCAACCCCCAGGTGCAAACCGGCCCTCCCACCAGGCGGGGCGGTCCTCAGGAGACCGCTCCTCCCCACTGTTTCCGGACTCCATTGGTCCAACCAGGTGGCCAGCGGTCACGTGGGCCGTGGGCCAGCCCCCCTGCAGACAGGCGGTCTCCCGGGAGACGGACAGACCCCTGAAGAGAGGCAGCGCCCTGAGACAAACAGATCCCCCGAGGCGGGCAGCCCCCCGGGAGACGGGACTTACGAGATGGCCTCGATCATGTCCATGCCCATCTCCACGCAGCAGTGGGCGTGGTCCGCCCTCGCTTCGGGCAGCCCCGAGACGCAGTAGTAACAGTCCCCCAGGATCTTGATACGTAAACAGTGGTTCTCCTGGAGAGCAAATTAATTTTAAAAAATTAAAAATAGCAGGAGAGTGAAGTGGGAGGGAGAGAAACTGGAAGCAAGCAGATCCACTCCATGCCTGGAATAACTTGCCTTTTAGGGCAGTGAGCACGGACCCAGTCCCCGTGAGCGGCCCCGTCTGGGGACAGGGACAGGCTTATCAAAGGCCTCGGGGACAGAGGACAGGCTGGGCAGCACTCAGAGAAGCATACCAGTCTCCCCCCCCCCCACGCTCAGGAACCCACTTTCACGGCCCCTGCAGAGGCCCAAGGAGGGTCCTCCTCCCCCCGCCCGCCCCGCCCACCCCCGCCCAAGGTGGAAGAGTCCTCTCTCTGGAAGCGCTGGCAGGGGGCGGGGTAGAAGAGGGGGCATCGGCTGTCTGCAGGCCAGCTGGGATCCAGACTCATTCTCTGGTCACTCATCCTCACCAGGAAAGTGGTTCTATGACACCTCATTTGTCCCATCAAACGGAAATTCCTCGGGAATCTGGGTAGCGTTACCTGCAGACCTCACCACTCCACCCCCCTCCTCCCCCCCGCCCTACGCGCGCGCGCGCGCGCGCGCGCACACACACACAACACTGACGGAGGGCTCACTTACAGCATCTCCTACTGAGTGTGTGGCCAGGGCTGATGCAGGGCGTGAGGACACACAGCCACCTGCGCCAGCCACCAGTTCCCAGCCGCAGGCTCTGCCAGGCAGGGCACGCCCCGGCACCGTGCCCGTCCCTGGGGTTGATTGAGTCCTGCCCACAGCACCTTCCCTCCGGAGCCCAGATCAGGCCACCCCGCTGGCCCTGGCAGAGGCACCCGGTGCCGCTGGCCCTGGCGGAGGCGCCCGGTGCCGCTGGCCCTGGCGGAGGCGCCCCGTGCCGCTGGCCCTGGCGGAGGCACCCGGTGCCGCTGGCCCTGGCGGAGGCGCCTGGTGCCGCGGGCGCGCGCAGGTTGACTCACCGCAGCCAGCTTGTCGAAGCGGGCGAAGAGCTCGTTGAGGGTCATGACCAGCTCCTGGGCGGTGCACTGGGACGCCAGGCTGGTGAAACCCTCGATGTCGGCGAACAGGATGCTGGGGAGACAGGCAGAGGAGGACCCTGTGAGGGAGGGCAGGCAGGGGGGCACGGCCAGGGCCACCCGAGGCCTCAGTGGGGCTGCCGGCCAGCACAAGCCCTGGGGGCTCCACCTGGCTGCTGCGGGGAGACCCCGAGAAGGCCCAGCCTGGAGACCCGGGAACTCGGATGCTCCCTGCTGCCCAGTTCCCTCTGGGCTCTAGCTGATGCCCAGGAGGAAAAGGGGGCCTGGCAGGGTGTGTCAGCCTGAGCTTACCACAGACGGGCCAGGCCCCGGTCCTCAGCACCTCTTGGGCCGATCCCTGTTGGACCCGGAGCCACCCCTCGAGGTGGCTGGGCCTGGGGATGGGGCACTGGGCAGTGTTTCAGGACCTAATGGCGACCTCATGAGGCCTCACTTCATACACATGGGACTCCAACCCCAGCTCTCCGGCCCAAAGAAGCCCTAAAGGGATGGACCAGAGGAGGCCTGGGGGGAGTCAACGAGGGACACAGCCCAGAAGCGTCCCTGAAGCCCCCAGCTCGTCCCCGCCAGCTCCTTTGGCCTCACGTACACCCCCCACCCCACCTCACCCTGGGTGCCCACCCCACCTCACCCTGGGTGCCCACCCCACCTCACCCTGGGTGCCCACCCCACCTCACCCTAGGTGCCCACCCCACCTCACTCTGGGTGCCCACCCACTGCACCCGCGGTGCCTGCGCTGCACACTGCGGAGCTTCTGTTTCTGAGGCTCGGGCTTGCAAGACTGAAACTCCTTCCTTTTGTTTCGTAACAGAGGACCGGAGGTGAGGACCCAGCAACAGAATGTATAAGGGCCCCCGGAATTTTTTTCTCGAACGATGGACACAAAAGCCCAGCGACTCTCCTGTGCTGAGCTACTCCTGGGCCGGCATGGGCCCGCTGTGTCCGTCTCATGGAAGACGCCCGCGCTGCTCCCACACACCCCAGCCCCGGCGGCTCCAGAGCCGAGTCTGCTCCAAAGGAAGAATGCAGGCCTACACATACGTCGTCATTTTATCCTGAACATGGGTGGGTGCGTTAAGCACGTCTTCATTCCGACGCCTCAGATCTGGGGCCCGGCTCACCCTGGAGCCAGCCTCCCCTCCCACAGCCCGTTCCCCGAGTCACACCTCCCCTCAGAGTCGGGGCGCCGCCCCAGTCAGCTCTCACACCGGGCCACCCGCCCAGGGGCAGGGGCCAGGTACAGGACAGTCCTAAGCCCACTTCCCTGGTCTCGCGGCCTCCTTCCCACAGTAAAGGCTTTTGCCCACATTTCCCCCTCATTCTGCCTCCTGCCCAACCCCGCTGCTTCCCTGCCTGGCCCCAGGACATGGTGTGCCCGCAGCCCTGAGGAACTGCACCAAACTATCTTTTCCATGGAAATCCTCTCCCCGGCTCACCGCACCTGGACACTAATGAAACCTACATTTAAAAACAGTTAGAATGGGGGGTGGGGGAGGGGGAGAAGCCCACAGTGGGGGGGGCCTATGTAATACTTGGAACAATAATTAAAACAAAACAAAACAGCTGGACACTGTTCTAAGCACTTTCCATGAGCGCATCTGAGCTTCTTTTCCAGGTGAGAAAACGGAGGCACCGTTGAGCCACCCACCCAAGGCCACACAGGCAACCCGGCCCCACAGTCCAGGAGCTGGACCAGTAAACAGTACGCTGTCCGGTGGCCCACAGTCGTCTTAAGTGCATACAGGCCTCGGTCGGTGGTCTGGCATTATGTAGGGGGCGGAGGGAGGGGAGGGGCATGAGGGCTGTCGTAGGTGGGCACGCACTCAGGGGCCGCTTGCCAGCTCCCCGAGGGAGCAGAGGGGGAGACACTGTCTTCAGGCCACAGACTCTGGACATCAGACAGCGGCGCCTGGAGCGGGGAGCCATGTGCAGAGTGCTCAGAGATGAAAGGGAGTCGGGATCACCACCGAGCTTTGATCCTGGTGTCTGACAGCAGGCAGGCGCAGCGCCGGCCAGTCTCTGGGCCTGCGGCACGTGGCGGGAAAGGAGCGGGCGAGGGAAGCGAAGGGCTCCAGGTCCTGCTCTGGCTTCCTAACCAAAAGAGGGTGGCAGGCCCTCTCCCCCTCTCTCCCCACCCCTGCCACCTCCCCAGCTCTGTGTCTCAGGAGCGGCCCACTCCACACCGGAGGCAGGAAAAGGTCGCTCCTCGCCCGTGGAAAGCCCCCTCACACCGCTGTGCTGGGCCTTCTTCTTGGACTCGGGAAACCAAAGCAAGCTGGGGTCAAAACTGGCTGCTTCGGAGTCAAGGAGCAACGGTGGGTGGACCTCACTATTTCCAATGCAAAGCCAGCGATGCCAGGCCCCGCAGCTGTTCCCTCTGCGTCCAAGGCTGGCGAGGCCCCGTGAGAGGAAGGAAAACCGTCCCTGAACGTGGCAGAGGCAAGGTGAGGAGAGAGGAAGAGAAGGGATCACCCGGGCAGCATGAGGCAGATGTGTGTGAACCAGGGCACCTGCCAGAGCTCACCTAAGCCACTCAGGCAAGGCAGGGGCCTGCCTGCCAGGTGTGGACACGGCCAGGCCTGGCCATTCTCCTTCCCCACAGGTGCCCTCGCTGGGCCACAGGGAGCACTGTCCTGCACTGCAGGGAGCACTCACCCTGCTAGACTCGTGGTCCTTAGGCCTGGGGCCTGTCAGAACCACGTGGAAACTTTCATAAGGAGAGGTCTCAGACCATCCTCGCACCGCCCACCGCCCCCCCCCCCCCCCACCGACCCAAGATGCTAACTTGCTTGGCCTGGGGCGGGGTTCTGCTACTGATTGTTTTTTTTGGCTTTATTTTAAGTTTCCCTGGTGATTCTAACAGGCGGCCAGGGTTGAGAACTCTGTACTAGTTCAAATGTCACCTTCCCAAGGCGGCTTCCACCACCCTATTTACATCTACAGCCCCTTCCACGTGTCTCTCCCTTCCCTGCTTGGCTTCCCCCCTGCGCTTTTCACCATTTAATATCCTCTTTCTACCTGTGTTTCCCCCGAAAATAAGACCTAGCGCATCTTTGGGAGCAAAAATTAATATAAGACACTGTCTGATTTTCGGGGAAACAGAGTAGTGCTGTGGTGGTTACTTGTCATATGCTCCTGCCTGTCTCTCCTACTAGAGAGTAAACTCCTCAAGGGAGGGAGTTTGGTCGACTGCATTGACTGCTATTTCCCAGCCCCCACACAAGGTCTGGCACAGAGTAAATGCTCCATAAAATGTGCAACGGACAGGCCAAATATATGAGGAGAGGTCATGTCTACTTGCCTTCTGCTCTGTCTGTCCCCACCCCCACCACCACATACACATCTAGCACCATGTCCAGCACCCAGGAGGTGCCTGTATTCGTTTCCTAGGGCTGCCGGAACAAAGTACCACAAACTGGGGGTAGAGGGGCTTCAAACAACAGAAACATATTCCCCTCACAGTTCTGAGGTGAGACGTTCGAAACCAAGGTGTCAGCAGGGCCGTGCTCCCTCTGGCGTTCTGGGTACAGCCTTCCTTCCTCTGTCTGGTGGCTGCTGTCAGCCCCCGGCCCACAGCGGCTCCACCCGCATCCCTGCCTCTGGCCTCACGTGGAAGCCTACCTGTGTATCCCTGTCTTCCCAGGGCAGGCTCCTCTCCTGATCAGGACACCAGTCGTTCTGGATGAGGGGCCCACCCTCCTCCAGCCGGGCCCCCTCTTAACTTGATTTTCATCTACAAAGACTGTGCTTCCAAATAAGGTCACACTCACAGACACCAGGGTTAGGATCTCAACGTGTCTTTTAGAGGGACACAATTCCGCCCGCAGGTCTCTAACAGGTACTGGCTGAAGAGAACAGCCATAATTTCAAAGCAACGAAGCGGCAGAACCGGCAACTCTAGCGGCCCTTCTTCTCCCCGGCCCTCTGCGCGTCCCAAGCGTGCCATCTGAGACGCGTGCCTTCGGAGCACCGGGGCCCGGGCTCACAGGTGCCCAGGAGATACGGGACACGTAGGTGTGTGCGGGCCTCCAGGCTGAGGACGCCGGGCCCACCCTCCAGGCTGCTGGGATCTCCTCTTCCCAGGCCCCTCTGTCCGGGACCTCAGCAGCCGCTGAGGACTCAGGGAGGGCAGGCTCCACAGCTCCTTCCGTGGGGAGGTGGGACAGAGCAAGCAGCCCGCCGGGCGGAGGGGGCTCCCGTCAGCATCGACAGGGCCTCAGAGACCCCAACCCCAACGCCTGCAGCCTCCCCCACACAGTGGTGGAAACACTGCCACCTCCACATCCCCCGCCCCCCTCAGAGTCACACCTCGCTGCCCTCGGGGAGGATTCTGCTGGACCGGGTTTACTGTTCACTGGCCAGCGTTCCCGCTCTGCTCCTCGGTAATTCTGAAGGCCCTTTACAAGCCGCCGGGACCCAGACCAGACGTGCCGTAAGGTGCTGATTCATCGATTAGCTCCCACTTGAGAGCTCGTGTTGGCAACGTGAGCAGAAGCCGGGCAGACCCACGCGGCGGTGCGCGCCTCCCTAATTGCCTGCCGTCCGTCACCCGCGGCCCCTGCATCCCGCTCCGGAGGCAGGAGCAGGCAGGCGCCCGTCCCAGTGACCACAACGGGCCCTTCAGCCACCTGTCACTGCCTCGGCCCGGCTTCGCCAGTGCATTCTCCGGGAGGCACAGTCCCTCTGGCTGCCAGAGGGCCCTGTGACGAGATGGCGCGGTCACAGCCGGCAGCATCTGAGCGCCCGGTGGTCCGGGCAGCCGACATGGCGAGGCCCTGCCCCTCTGACCGCCTGCATCCCTCGGCATTGCTCAGAGGGGCTACGCAAGAAATGCCAAGAGGCCTGGCTGGTGTGGCTCAGTGGGTGAGCATCGACCTATGAACCAGGAGGCCGTGGTTCTAGTCTCAGTCAGGGCACATGCCCGGGTTGTGGGTTTGATTCTCAGTGTGGGGTGTGCAGGAGGCAGCCGACCAATGATTCTCTCTCATCATTGATGATTCTACCTCTCCTCCCTTCCTCTCTGAAATCAGTAAT